TTCAATTAAACAAATTTATTTTCTTGGCTTCTAAATGCGTACAGATATATTATTATGGTCGGTTTAGACGCCAATCTGTCTACAGTAATAAACAAATTGGAAAAGGAATTGAGCAATTTAGAGATCAACAGATATGTGTCGATCAAATAATATGTTTTTTATTTTTATCCATATATCATTAATTTATTTCTATAATTTCAGTATTTCGTTTTCCTTCCATTAAATTTACGCATGAAATTGAGAACAACGACAGATTACCATTTCTAGATGTATTAGTTATTAGAAATACTAATAATTGCCTGGAATTTGATATCTATAGAAAAAATACCACCACTCGCAGATATATTCCTAATGAATCACATCATAGTGTTGAACATAAAATGGCTAGTTTAAATTTCTTAGTTCATAGATTACTTAGTTTCCCACTTTCCAACGAAAAATATGAAATAGAAAGAGATTGCATTAGGAATGTAACTGAGTGTAATGGATATTCTCCTTCATTAGTTGATAAAATAATTAGGAAACGTAGATATAGGTTAATGATTTCTGAAAATTCGACTTTTCAAGTGGAGAAAGATACGTCAAAATATTTTTCAATAAAAAAAAGGAATTTTTAAGAATGTTAATTATAAACTTGAAACTTGTGTATAGTGCTAATAATAAATTACAACAATTATTAGGTAGGTAATCCAAAGGATAAAAACACCTCCACTGGAAAGGTCGGGTATTTATGAAATTTCTTGTAAAGATTGTAATCAGAAATATGTTGGGCAAACTAGAAGATCAATATTAACTAGATTTAAAGAACATTTAGCTCAGATTAGATATGGTAGATCGGATAAATCTTGCGTTGCCGAACATATTGTTGATAAAGAACATTGTATAGATCTTAATAATTTAAAATTAATTAAACAAGTCTCAAATTACAGGCAATTAGATGCATATGCAAGCATCAGAATTAATAAATTTAAAGATAGTATGAACAGAGACAACGGTCCAATTCCTTCAAGTTCTTTGTTCCTACTACCTTCTAGTGGCGGAAATCTAACTGTTACGCTCAGTGGGCTCTGACTCGGTTGGTTAGATCTTGCCACGCCCACTCGGTGCCCACTGAGCGGGTATATAAACGCTCAACTTGTAGATTGTACTTTAGTTTATAATCATCTGCTGATGATGTAAACATGGTTAGCGAATAGGTGATTTAGTTTTTTATTTTGTTTTATTTTTCCTTTATTTAATTCAGTTTTTCAACTTCAGTCATTATAACATTTTTCCAGCAAAGTGTTATTCCTTTGTCTTACCTAAAGTGAAGTTTTTTTATGAATTCTTATTTTGTATTGTGCTTTGTTTTGGACTTGTGTTTCTCACTTTTATTACTATTGTGTGTATAATTTTTTTTTCTTCAGAACTGGGGGTAGGCAAGTAGTTTTCTGTAATACAGGAAAATACCAAAAGACAATGTTCTCTTTAAAATTAAAATTGTTGGCTCCCGCTTTAACTGAAACATTTTTTTTATTTTGTTATTAAATTTATTTGCAAAACCCCTTGATTTATTGCCACAAATTTACTATTACGAAGAAATTTCGAAAAAACACTTATTGATTTTCGATTACAACGTCAATCATCAAAATTTTACGATTTTTAACTGATCTCTGAAAAATAAATGCGGCTCAACTTTAACTTTGAAGTCCGAATTTTTCTGCAGGCTGGTTTCATATTCATAAACCATTAACCAGTTTGTATTTCCCATTAGTTTTCGTATTTTCGCAAACAAAACGAAATATTTCTTAGTATAACATGCCAGTAGCGGATTTAAAGTGAATTTATTAGAATCTAATAATCTATTTCGATCGATGGAACAAATGCATCGTAAACTGGAGGCCCTGGGAGAATAGAAGAAGTAGAGGAAGACCCCAGATTAGATGGGCGGACGATCTGAGGACACATGCAGGCACAAGATGGATGAGCATGGCGACAGAGAGGGAAGAGTGGAAGAGATTGGGGGAGGCCTATGTCCAACGATGGACCGAAGAGGCTGGATAGAATCTATTTATATCTTAGATGTCAAGCTCTATTAGATAATTCACTTTTGTAGAAGAATATAGAATGAGGGAGTTTAATCACCGCGACCTTACAGACCTTCCTTTCTTGAGTTATAACTCATCATACAGTCTCGATCTAGCTAGAAAAGGAGCGAACACTCCACTAAATGGACCAGAACCTTTCTGTTTTCTAAGCGGGAACCACCTCAAATCGGAATTGAAGAATCTGGACGACTCCATCCGTAACCTGGAATGGTTGTCCTCCAACGGTCTAAGACACTCGAAAAAGTTCCTCAGAACTTACGACCGAGAAAAATTAAAGGTTTTCCTTGATTTAAGTAAAAACAATCTTCGGATTGTCCATGGGGTTTCTAACAGGACACTGAGAAACGACGGGGAATGCAGATTCTGTGGGGAACATGGGGAAACACCAGAACACCTTATCACTGAGTGCGCCGAGAGAACGACCGTTGGTGCCATGAACTTTGGTACGGCTGATGTCGAGGATGGAGAGCTGGCCTCTGTGGAGCCGTCTCAGATACTGGCTTTTGTTAAAGTCCTGAGACTGTATGATGAGTTATAACTCGTTATAAGTCAAGAAAGGGGAACACACAATAGATCTGTAAGGTCGCGGTGGTTAACTCCCCTCCCAAACATTCTACATTCTATATCATACAGTCTCAGGTCTTTTACAAAAACCAGTATATGAGACTACTAACTAGGGCAAAATCTAGCAGAGCTGGAAGACCAAACTGAGCATGCTATGAAATAGATAACGGGAAATAGATAATTTTGGGATATCGTTCGTATTTTATTTAAACAAAAATTTGTATATTGAACTTACGATCCAAACTGGTCAGTGTCAAAATATTATTACTGAAAATATTTTAACAGGTCTTATATCACTGCAAGTTTTTTGTAGATATTCTTACAAGGTTTGTTTGGAGTAAAATGACATTGTTTATGTATGTACCAAACGTAAAATTTCGCATATTGCCATAATAATAAACATTAAATGTAAGAATGCGAGTATAATACTGGGAACTACAGATTTCAAATTTTTATACAAAAAAATTAAGGGTAAAATCAACTAGAAAGAGCATATAAATTCAACCAAATAACAGAGAGTTCAAGTCAATTAATATTGCTTTCTAAATAGCAATAAAAAATACCGTGTGATCGAAAAAAAGCCGTCGAGTTGGTCTGAAAATTCGACTACTCACGTCACGCATGCTTATAGTATATTTGTAATAATTGATGTACAGGATGGCTCGAATTCGAGGCTCATCATTGGGATTTCGGAAACTGTAAGAGATACAGGATCGGTTAAATGGAGGCAAAGTTGCGCAATTTGAGGCTCAATAAAATGCCGTATTGCATTTTGCAAAATTCCGAATACTTCAGAATATATTCGAAAAAAAACGGAATTTTCAATTTTGTTTTCTATTGTGTCCTGGCTTTATTTGTTAATATAACTTAAAATGAAAAATACATTTTCATGGCCACTTTTTCTGCTCTAGGTATAACTCTGTGTGATTAAATATTGACTCTGACGTTTCGGCTTCTGGCGACCATCATCAACTTAATTTTTTTAAATACGGACCTGATTTTTTTTTCAATTTAATTAAATCCTTTCGTCACTCTTAAAACACTATATATAGTCACTTTGATATTTGCCGACGTTTCGTACAGGAAATTCCATCACCAGAATATTTTATGCAAAAAAAAAGCAATACGGCATTTTATTGAGCAATTGCGCAACTTTGCCTCCATTTAACCGATCCTGTATCTCTTACGGTTTCCGAAATCCCAATGATGAGCGTCGAATTCGAGCCACCCTGTACAGTAATTATACAGGGTGTCCCAGAAATAAGAGCAAATATTTTAAGAGGTGATAGATCTCGATAAAAGAAACATATTTTCCCTATATCGTTTTTCAAATAAGTCCAAAATAACTGAGTTATTTTACTTTGAAAATAAAAAAAAAATGATTTTTTCCTAAAATTTTGAAAACCACTGGATCTTTTCTGGATTTTCTTTCTTGTAAATTTAATCTAATACCTATGTTGCCATATTATCAAGAAATTATGTTTTTTAATTAAAAACTAAAAAAATTTCCAAAAAATTTTTCAAAAAATTTCGAATTTCGATTTTTTTTTTACGAAAAAAAACTCATAGGCTTGTTTCTGGGGTTGAACTATACTACCATTTAAAATATTTGCACTTATTTCTGGGACACCCTGTATAGAAAATACTTGAATCAAAATGTAAACAACACCATAGAGAAAAATGACAACAACTGTTAAATATCTGAGTCTCAATCATTCCCAGATCATCGGTAATCAGTCATTCGTACCACAAGATTTACAAAAAAAACTGTCACTTCACTTTGCTTTCTTGTTAGCCAGGTTATTTAGTTTTACCTGTACATTTCTAGAGCATCTTTGACAGCGTTTTTTTTTGTTTTTTTTTTCAATTTTCTTTAAACGGTATGGAAATTCCGAAAAGTATAAACGGGATTAACCATTTTAGATCAAGTAATTTTTTTTACGAAGATTGCATTTTTCTCAAAATGTCAGTAATAAAAAAGTTGTTCCTCTTGTAAAGACAATCCGGGGACATACTGTAGAACAAATTTGTTTGATCATAAGAATAAAAAATTATTTAATGCAATTAAACAATTATTATTTAGCCAACAAAACTTTTTCACAAAAACAAACACAAATATTTCTGACAACAAAATTAAATACGCCAGTTTTAAAACCAATCAAAATTTAACAAAAAGAAATATTTTTCTGTGTTTGGTTAGTAATAATAATGATTAATTCAATAAATCATTTATTTGTAATTTTTTGGATTGTTTCATTTTACGTTTGCACCAAAAAAAAACTTAGGTAATATTAATACATTTTATAAAAATGACAAAACATTAAAAACCCTTAATTCTAACTGTGTTACCTGTTTTTCCAACCCCTGGTGCACCAATCACAGCAACTTTGACACCGGACAGCGAAGATTTCTTCCTCCTCAACACTTTGGCATTCATTATAAACTCAATTGCTACGAGTTGTACGAAAAAAAATTCAAACTTAAAAAACGCTAATTAAAAAAAATCTTTGCAATATTTCAGTGATTATTATAAGACAAAACAAACAACAAGGAACAACCACAGAACTACTGAATTAGAACAATGTTTGCCTATCGCGGCCCGTGCGCTTCTGGTTGTACAAGACTGGATCGTCTTGAAAAACTGAATTTCTAAAATTATATCCCGCGGGATATATGAGGGATCGAGTTGTCTGGAGTACCGACGACGGGTACACAGGTGGGACACAATATAATTAGATTGGACTAATATAGACTTAGAATAGCCAAAGGAGGGACGTAGTGGGCATGAATAGGTAAGATGTGCCTTAAAAATAAACAGTTTCAAATCAAGATTTTGTGATAAATTTAAGTGGGTATAAAAAGTAAATAAGTGTGGTGTTTTTTTGAAAAATAAGTAGCATATAGAAGTACCCAAATACATTTTAAATGCCATATGATAAAAAAAACGGCGTCCCAGTCGGTTGAGAAATGACAATCGATGATAATTTTGGCGAGGTTAAGTCCTAGACATCATTACCCCGTACTCTTCTATATTTTTTAATGGCATTTACTGTCAGTTCCTGTATTCCTGTCAGAGAACTGTTCCACGAAATATTCATGGAGATCGCCAACACTTGAAGACAGGCACGGCACCGCAAGAAGTAGAAGATCTTATCCGATAGTCAAGAAGCCTTCAGAGCGATCAACTCAGTAACCATCAATTCAAAATTGGCCAAAAATGCTTAGACAAGCTGAACAAACTAGGCAAAGAAAATAAAGTCCTCCTACTCAGGGTGCCAGTCCACAAAATGATAAAAGGTAATGAAAAAACAAACGATCTAGCTAGAAAAGGAGCAAACACTCCACCAACTGGACCAGAACCGTTCTGTTTCCCAAGTGGAAACCAACTTAAAGCGCAACTCAAGACACTTAGAAGACTCTATACGTTACCTCGAATCTTCCAACGGTCTAAAGCTTGATTTTCATGCATCCGCTGTCCGACGATACGATGATACGATATTAATTTTATTGGTTGAATTTAAAGACTTCGGCTGGCTAGAAACGGTTAACCAATCGAAGCCTTTAAATACAACCAATGAAATTAATATCGTATCAACGTATCGTCGCACAATGGATGCATGAAAATCAAGCTTAAGACACTAAGAAGAAATTTCTCAGAACTTACGCCCGAGAAAAATCAAAGGTTTTCCTTGATTTAAGTAAGAACAATTTTCGGATTGGGTTTTTATCAGGCCACTGTCTCCTCAATGAACACCTCAGTAGATTGAAGTTAAGAAACAATGGCGAATGCAGATTCTGTGGAGAAAATGGGGAAATACTAGAACATCTCATCACTGAGTGCGCCGAGACGACAACCATTCATGAATTGAAATTGACGATGAAGAATTCTTCTTCTTCCTGTGCCTTGTGCTTAGCCGCACGTTGGCGATTGTCTGTACTCTTCATACAATGTGTAGAGTGCCGTTTTCGGCTCTTCGAAATATGGTGGCTGCGTCGCTGATGTTACACCAATCCCGTATGTTTCTTAGCCAGGAATGTTGTTTTCTTCCTGGGCCTCGCCGTCCCTCTATTCTTCCTTGTAGAATCAGCTTAGAAATGTAATATTTGTCTCCTCTAAGGATATGGTCGAGGTATGAAACTTTTCTTTCTTTAACTATATTAAGCATTTCTCGTTCATAGCCTGCAGTTCTTAAAACTTCTTCGTTGGTGGCATGTGCGGTCCATGGCACACGTAAGAGTCTCCGGAGAGTCCACATTTCGAAAGCCTCGATGCGGTTCAGGGTTCTAGCCTTGAGACCACGTTTCTGCGCCGTATAGTAAGATGGGCCATATGTAGCATTTTACTACCCGTAGTCTAAGTGCTAGCGGGAGACTGCGTGCAAATAGGAAGTTTTAAGTTTAAAAAATGTTGACTTTGCATAATTCGAACGTGCAACGAAAGTTGTGTGACATTTGTCTCCAGGTAAAACATGTCTAACGAGTGACATAATGCGATTATTTTTTACTATTAGATCAAAATTTAAGTAAAAGATATGACGCCAGAAATAAAACTAGGTGAACGACCCAACAACGGTCCAGATTTTCAACGATGGAAAGATATGGTGGAGAGCGTGATAGACTTTATAGCCGCTTCGAGAACGATGTTGAACGTTTTGACGGATAAGCTGGAGGAAGGGAAGAGGTTCAGAGAGGAGGAAAAACGTAAAATAGAAGACGAAAAAGTGAAACTGGAGTTCTACAAAGGTACTATTATTTTAAAGAGGTTTTAGAACTGTCTAGGATTATATTTTTCAAAAACTATACTTATAAGCAGGGTTGGCATGATTTAAATCAAATGATTTAAATCATGATTTAAATAAAATTATTTTTTTTAATTTTAATCATTGATTTAAATAAAAAAAAATAATAATTTTATTAAAACTTTATTATAAATCAAAAAATAGCTTTAAAAGTTATAAAAATGTGTCCTAGAAAACTATAAAAAATATTTCTATAAAAGATATAACAGATAATAAATCGAAAAGTAATTGTAAATGTTATAAAACTATATAAAAATATATATTCATTTGGTTGGACCGATTTTTGAAGTAATTTCGTGTGAATCCATTAGACCGCTAAACTCAGGGATTTATTTTAAAATTTATGTATAAGTGACAAAAATTCGCTGTTCGAATACATATCATTCGCAGTCTAGTGCAGAACTAGGTTCTTCTGATATAGAGACCATATCTTCATTCCCGAGAATCTATAATAATCGTTGTCAGGAAATAAGTTTTTTATATTTTTTTTTTCGAAATGGATGTATTTTTTCAAATTCTTACCGACATTTTGATCTGCAGTAAGTATTTTACACTTTGACATTAGATAATACTAATTTCATTCTCAACTTAAGAGTATTTCCGAACAATAGTGTATTGTTTCACTAGGAGTAAAAATTATACATTTTTTGATGATACTGTACCTTTGAAGGACCATCGTAAAGCTATTCCGACGTTACAAGGAAGCACAAAAAGTACATTTTTACTCCTAATAGAACACACATACTATTTTTTTAAAACAATACAAATCATTTTTAATCAATTTCAAACATTGCAAATAATATAAACAGCAATCGAGCAACAATTTGTACGCTCGTTGAATTTGACACTTAATATTTTTTTTTTTTTAATAATATATTTTTGTACTTTTGTGCTTAGGCGTAACAGTTCTTTACTTTTATACCTAGGCGTTAAAATGACAAAAATTAATACTTTTCAGACGTTTGAAAAAAAATCCTTTTTTGATCTGAAGCGAGCGACTTTTTTGCGAAATATATTGGTGACCGATGTGGAAAAATGACAAAACGCACCCTAGAATTATTAATCTTATCGATAACGGACCGAGTTATAAAGATTTAGCCATTTAGGATAGGATTTTAATTGGAAATAAGTCCTAGTCATTTGAAAAGCCAATTTAAATATTGTTTTGAATTAAAATCAAAAAAATCTGATTTAAATCAAAAAAATCTGATTTAAATCAAATAAATATGATTTTTAATTTTTTTTTAAAAATCATGATTTTTTCCAACCCTGCTTATAAGTCCTTTATAACTTTAAAACACCCTGTGCGATAATTTCGCGGCAAAATATTATTTCCTGTCAGAACCATGCCTCCTGAGCATTTTGTTTTTTGGATCATGTCAATACATGCTTTGGTTAATTTTTAACAACGAAATGAACTTGCCACCAACAATTTGTAATTTATTCAATTATCTTTTCTTTTTAATATGTTTCAATATGACGATTGCGAATTATACAGGGTTGCTCACCACATACGACACGGAGTATTGTAGCTAAACGATTAGATTTTTACAAATTGTAAGTTTTGGGTTCGTTGAAGGACTATTAAAGCTACAATTTAAAAATATTTTTGCAAGATACAGAGTGTTCCAACTAAGTAAAAATTATTACAGTTGTACTTTTTTAAATGGAACACCCTGTATATTATTCTAGTTTTAGAGTCTACGATTGAAATAAAGGTAAATTTCATTAAGGTTTATCATACTTAAACCTTACCGTTTTGAAATATTTTCAATTTTATGAAATTGCATTAAAAATTTTAAGGCTTCGTTTCTCCAAGGGTATCAAAGTTTTTAAGACTAAATATTCACTGAAATTTATTTATTGATCAGATATTGTGTTGCAATAATAAACAAAATACTAACTTATACCGAGTGTCTAAAAATGTATATTAAATAATTACTAGCTTTAAACTGGAATAACTTGTTTAATTTAAATGGAACACCCTGTATATTTTACGGCGATCAGATGCACAATTTAATTGTCTAGCAAATTGTATTATACCATATTTTACCTATCTCTTCAAGTTTTCGTAGAAAATACATTTTCTTATAATTTAGACCTCATTTATCACTATACCCATGGAATGTTGACATTTTAGATTATTTTTAAAGATGTAACAAATTTTCAAAAAGTACAGATGCTAATATTGTCGATATAGTTCGCTCATTTCATTAAAAGATAAAAAAACTGTTCAAATATTTTTTGTTTTAAGTAGGACCAATTAATATGGTCCCAGTATTCAAACTACATTATTCAAACAAACATTATTCAACATAAAAATGAAAAAAATATATAACACTTTAAATATGACGAAAAATTGTATCGTTGCGTTTTTTTGCATCTGAGTGTATTTTTATTTTGTTTTTATAATACTTTTTTCAGAGTGTTTGAAGATGGAACTGAACAACGTGGTTAAGAAAGTGAATAACGACACTTCAACGGATCTGTTCGAGGCTGGCGATCAGAGATGCCACTACGTCGGATTTAAATCCGCGCCCAAGTACCCTCAAAACACTAAAGAGAAACTTGGTAGCGGTATCCTGAAAACGTCAAAGTATCTGAGTAAAATCCCTAGACAGCAGAGCAACACTGACCAGGGATCTAAATGTAATTATTGTTTTTTTTTAATTGTTTGCTCTATATTTGGAATTATTTCTTGAAGTGAACCTTCTTCACGCGTGCTTTGAGTAAAAATCCAAGGCCGTGACACACGAGCTAGTGGCAACGAAAAGCGGTAACGATAAAAAAGTGGTAAGGATAGCCTACGGCATAGAAATACGTAGTGACGCGACGTGAATTTGTGAGCAGTCCACGTGTTTATCAAAAATATTGAGTTTTTAATACAAATTTTGTGAAACGGAATAAAATTATTTATAATTTTTTATTTTACAGCCGTTAGAAACAGCCACTACTTGTACAGACATTACTCACATGTATACATGCATATAATAGTTATTAATGATACAAGTTCGATACGAACATCATAATGAAACGTGTTTAATGTTAAGTTATCCTATTCAAAATTATGAGGTGCCCATATTAGTCGACGCCTGGTAACCGTGCTTGTTGATTGTTTCCATTTTGACTTTGACAACTCAATTATTGATGTTCAATTTTGTGTTAAACGTTCAGTTTTAGCAAAAAGCAAAAAATAATATTAATATGAGTGATTCTGATTCTGAAAGTGTCGAATATTGAAGACATTGCGAAAAACGTTGTCGATTCCCTACTTCCCGAAAAATCTAGACAAACGTTCGAGCAAGCCTATGTAAAACTTGCAGATTGGTGTAAAGGGAAAAGAATCAAGAATAGTAGTAACGAAAAGGTTCTCCTGGCATATTTTGAACATCTTTCAAAACATAGGAAGGCTTCATCACTTTGGGTCTATTATTCCATGCTACGTTCAGTTATATCAGTGAAGAAAAATATTTTTTTCTCTTTATTAGATTTAGAATCTCTATTTTTTTGTTGATAGACTCTTCGATATATCCTTCCGCAACCGTTGCAGATCGCCATCCTCCGTGTCTTTTTAAGATTGTCATGTTCACTCCTGCATTTGCCAGTAATGTAGCGGATGATCTTCTCATACAATGGCCAGTGTATTGCTCAGGATGTTAAAGGCCCAAGTACGTAGCAATTTTTGAAGGCATTCTTGACAAAGTATCGATTCCTACCCAATGCGTTGTGCTTTTACCATTTTTATAAAACACAAAAAATCTTTTATGGGGAGCGGCATTATAGTAAAACTTTGTGGTTTCTTGAACACCGTATCGGGTATCATGATATACTAGACTTTTCTGGCAGTATTTGTGTTGTAGACGCCTCTGCCTGGTTAATAATTTCTTGCGGAAAATCTTCCTGAATCATTTTTCTTTAAAATCTCACTTGTCGGTTGATAATTCACTATTTTATCGTTAAAAAGTAGCGTTTTATCTAAATGTCGTATTAATGTCAGTGCTATTTATTATTTACAAAAAAAACGCACATCTATATTGCATAGTAACATCAACGCACCCTGATAACTTATTAATTCGCAACAATGAAAGTAGAACTAGTAGATCCTTTTAAATCAATTTATTCTTTAGAGATTGGACATGAAACAGTTCTACTGTTGGATAAAATTTTGTATGGCACTTGCGTGTTATAACATATAAGTCACTTGAGAAAATTAGTCCTCTCGGCGTACGGCCTCGAGGGCTAAGCATTTCCCAGCGTAACTTATATGTAAGATAACACACTAGTACCAAATATACCTATTTTTACGCGTCATTTTTTTTTATTTTTTACTTTCTCAATGTTCCAAACTACACTTTTTCAAACATGTCCTCCAAATCCTTCAATTTAATAGCTGTAAGTAAGAAGTTTACTTCAAATATGCCCACATAGTCATCACCACCTCCACACAAGGCCATTCAACCTTTTCCAATATGGCGGAAATAAAAGTGCTTTATTTGGCGCGTATTTTAAACCCTGTTTTATTTCCAAATAGACATTTTTCACACAAATGTCGGGTTAGATTACGTAATATTTCACTAATTTTTTAATATACAGGGAGTTTAAAGTTCTCCACATATTTTTTGTATTATTACTTTTATGAAAACATCAGTCAGTTACTTTTTATAAAAAGGTCTGCTTTCTCAGAAAATAGGTAGTGTTAAAATATTCAAACTTGAGGTAGCATATATAGGGTGCTCAAAATCATCGGAAAAAGAAATAACCAGAAATATATGACAGAAAATAGCAATATAAACTAAATATTCAATTGCAAACACTTACCTACCATAGTTTAGAATTTACTGAACGTTTGATAAATATATACTATTATGGACAGTATAGGAAGTTACTTGTCTTAGTAAAAGCCTTGGTAAATGCTCTTGGAATTATGAACTACACTGGCTTGGATAAAAAAATATAGAATATTTTTTCTATGTTTTGCAGCATTACACAAATGGGAATAAATTTAAACTATAATAGGTGAGGATAACTAAAAAATATAATATGATTGTGTTTCAAGATTTTATATAGAAAAAAAACTAAATACCTTTTTGGGGGTTCGTAAGTAAAACTTACGCTTAGCTTAGTTTTCTTTACTCTTTCTCTTTACATAGGGCATTGTCTTTGTGGTAAAGACGTCATTCCTTTTTTTTGCATAGGTCTTCAATAAAATATTGGATATTCTGAACAAGATGGATTTAATAATAAATTCTGACGTATGTGAGGGGCAATTGTGACCTAAAAAAATACTTATATCCAGGCCATTTATTTTTTCAAACGTCAATGTTGTCAATATCTTTCTGTGATATTTTTGATGTAAAAAGCTTGATTTTTTTTCCAATATTTTACTTATAGTGAGGTAAGTGTAAGTAGTAGCCATAACGACATCCTCACTAGAGTAACAGAGGCTTTGGCCTTTGGCCTTTTTGAGGCATATTTAATTACATTTTTTCTTACCCGAGGACTACTAGTAGGAGTGAAATTATCTCTTTTAATAGCTGTCAACCATTTTTTACAAAGCTCGTCATTTTTGGAGAATATAAAAGTAGAAATCTTGGGACCCCCTCTGTAATTCCCGTGACAATTTGGAATAGAGCATGTAAAAGGTATGCTACAATAAAATGTTAACCCTTTAATACAATCTTTTGATTATTGTAAGTAACCATTATAAAGTACCGTATAATCGAAAAAAAAACGGCGTCCAGTTGGCGGGGAAATGACGATCGATGACATTTCCCCATATAAATTTACATATAAATTGACAGCGATCTTCATTTCATAGCCATCGCTGACGCCGTTTTTCCTCGATCATACGGTTGTATGCAGACTGGCGGTGAAGGTTTTTTATTTAGGTATACCTAATATCTTTATAAATACTTCTAGTTCTTACCTTAAAATAATTAATAATACAGGAGTACGACAAGCACAAAAGTTTGAAGTTCCCTATGTGGAATGTCTGGTTTAGATTTTTATTACACTCTTTCCAAAAAAAAAATCTTTATGGGTATTTCGTCACTGCACTGCAAGAAAATCTACAAAATAAAATAATTATTTTTTGTAAACACTTCTGCGTTAAACCTATACGTTTAATGTTTACAGTAATACAAATTTGCCTAACAAAGAAAAAAAATGCTTAACGTTTCGGAAAGTTATCTCTTTCCGTCGTCGGAAGCAAATAAATACAAAAAATAAAGAAAAAAACTATTTAAAATATTTAAATTCAACTATTCGAGAACACTTTACTTTTTTAAAACAGATACGTCTACAAGAAACCGTTGAAGTTCTGTTAAAATCGAAAGTCAAAAATTCAAATTCTGACAAGCAGCGTCCGTTTAGGTTTAACGCAGAAGTGTTTACAAAAAATAATTATTTTATTTTGTAGATTTTCTTGCAGTGCAGTGGCGAAATACCCATAAAGGATTTTTTTGCAAAAATGAATCCGCCACATAGATATAGACATTTATTACACTCTTATTTTATCACAATTTCCTGATCACACCATGCACTGAACACTAAGAACTAAACAAACGTCTTGCAGAAGCACAACAAACTAGAGATAATTAATTATTTCTGGTATGCAATCGGAACGAGAAACCACTACCGGCTGCCCATATCATGTTGATTTGCCTTGAGTCCAGGTGGTGATGACATAGGACCCGTACAATTTTTTTTGTTAAGGTAATTTTTGAACACCCTGTATACTTTGAGTATTTTCTTTTAGCCCGGCTGACCGAACGTTCATCGGAAACTTCAAACGTTGCAAGGTCGTGTTTGAACCGAAGAACTAGAAGCAAGAATTACGTGGAGCTCAGCCAGAAATTGAAAACAACCTGAAGAACAACAAGTTTGTTTTTTTTTTCATACCAGTTCAAAATAAATCGCTTAATTCAATATTGTGTTTGTTTATTTTTATTTCCCGTTGATTTGTATATAAAAATACGTGCGGTTTAACACATAGGTAAAAAATACTTTCCATTTTGCACGTAGGTACTTGGGTATTAAATAAAATTTTCTTGATTTATTAGTAATGGCTTGGGTAAAAAAATAGTTTTTCTAGTTATTTTTACATTCAAAGTACATCTTATTCGCTTGGGTTGATTATATACGAAAACGGAAAGATGTAGAAACAAAATATTTTATGGGTATATGTTGGGAGGCAATGTATTATAAGTACCTAATTTAAAATTATTTTGAAATGTACAGGGTGTGTCCGAACTAAGATTCATACAAAAGTAATATTCTTTCTTATAGAACACCCGGTATTTTATTGCATGTTTGGATCCTTGGATATAAAATAAAGCATCTATTATAAGGCTTTAAAATGTTTAAAAGCTTTAGTTTCCCTGTACATTACTTTTCAGAATTAATTCTTGGGCTGACTTTTAAGCCAGAACAATAAACTTTCACACACAATGGTGGCCTAAGGCCAGTACTACACTATCAAATTTCTTTGTCAAAGATTTTATTTTATCAAAGAATACAAAATACATACAAAATTGACTGTTGTTTAATTTTTTTGTTACATTTACTAAATTGGTTCAACCTGCTGGTGGGACATTTTACTCACAACCAAATAAAGGAATATAGATTCTTGTACTTTTGTATTGTTTTTTTTTCTTGAACGGTCGATTCCTAAAAATAAGTCAGAAATTATAAAACAATTATTATAACTGCAAAATCAAATAAAGTAGAAAAAAATACATCTATTTGCGTTTATCTTATCGAGAAGATCGAAATGGACATAATATCAAGATACAACTTTTAATCGGCATTAAATGGCCTACACTTTTTGGTTAGTAAGAGGAAAAGAAGTCAGTGGAGTACATATTTTTTTTTAGAAAAATATTTCAGTGGCAACCCATATGCACGTATCTGGTGAATATGTCGACATTTTTTTAGCATTAAGACATGTCGCACTTATATTAACCTTTACCCTCTAACTACCCTAGTAATTACCCTAAATATCATTTAAATTGCCTAAAGCGCTTGAAAGAAAATTATAATAAATCGAAAAAAGATGAAGATGATCTGAAGAGCCTGTAGCTACGGAAAAAAGCAGAATCAAAAAGGTTTTATTAGCTCGAATAATAAATTATAATACAATTAGACTTGCACAAGCAAGACATACAAGCTAGACGAATACTAATACCCACAAACACAACACAAAAACACACCCAGACCACCTGGCAGGCCACCTAAAAGATGGTACGAAAGTTGGACATCCGGTTCACAAGAGGCTTAAATAGTTGTTTTATACAGGGATAACCCTATTTGCAAAAAGAAGGAGACGAACAGAAGTTAGACAGTAGTTTTATGCAGGTACGGACGAAAAGTTATCACTCTTCAAAACAGTTAAAACACATGTAGGTGGCGCCCCATGCAAATAGGGGTCATATTGACATCAAAATCACATTTTTCATGTCAAAAAAATCCCAGTCACCAACTTTCATCTAAATATTGACGTTTCTTCAGAAATTATTTGGAAAAATTCGAAATACAAATTAAACTTCTACCAAAGATAATTCTACTACGAATTCTACTTCGCTTTTTAACGTTGCGACGCCTTTTTGGTTCCAAAAATTTTACACGGGATGGGTTTTCTATTGTGTTAACTACAATATTCTTTGCTTCTACACCCTAAGCATTTTAGGATATACATTTATACGAAATTTTTTCTTTTTTATCTGCAAAATGTAATAACAAAGTTTCCGGAATACAGTTCCCTGTATAGCGGGTTGTTTACGATATTCTCCGATGGTGGCAGCACCGGCGAAGAAAGCATACCAAATAATCAAATAATAATATCGTCACCATTTCTACTATCATATTAGAAAGATAAACATAATGTATTAAAAGTACTAGACCAAACTCTCGTGTTGCCCGTTAAAAAATAAAAAAGCAAAATACTTACGCTGGCAAATATTTTTAAATTGTTTCTATGTTTTGGTGGATATTCATATTCGAGCACATGTCTTAGAATATTTACAGGGGCCTCTCCTTGGTCCTCGGTAGCCTCCCATTCCACTGTTTGCTCCTATTTCAATGGTTCTTTCAATTCCAAAGTTACTTCCTACAGTTCCAATTCCATGGACAGCTTTCCCTATGTTAGCTCCATATTTGTTCATAGCGTCAATTCCCCTATTAACTAAATTGTCATCTATGTTAGTTCTACATATATCCTCTCATAGCTTTGAATGAAAAGATTAAGGAAGGAGCATATCAAAAATCTTAGATCGGCCGCACAAAACATCCCCCTTTAAAGCTTTTGCTTTAATGTCCATTAGGGTGTCCGTTATTTACAAAGTTGATGTCATGTCGCCCTCTAAATTTTTAGTTTATTGTCTAAGAAATAACTGACCATTGTAAACCCTTAATATTCACAATAAACCTTGCCCCAAAGACGATTCATTTTTCATTTAAATTACATTGGAATTTGCCACTTTTTGCAAATAATTTTTTTCTCTCGATCTTGTTCTCTCGCAGCCATGACAATTATATATTCTTCTACAGAATTGAACGCTCTTCAAAAAAGGTCTCTTACAATTTTTCGATGAACCTACTACTTCAAAAGTTATTCACGGCTAAAGTTAACCACTCGTTAACCACTTAAAATTCCTGAATTTTTCAACTTTTTTGACAAAATTATGATTATTTTTGAAAAATTTAGTCTATTACTGTAAAAATATACAATTCTGATGGTGTTAAAGTTGAGAATTAAGAAATATTCAAGTCTAATGAAATTTAAATCATTTAAGTATAGCTTATTTATGTTAAAAAACATTCTTTAGTTGGATTTTGATATTTCTTCTTATAATCGCTTACAGTCTGAATCACATATTGTTTTTCATCTTCACTTATAGATAAAATACTAATGTATTCTTCTGACAATTTAACAGCTCTAGCTGAAGTATCATTAACTACTCTCAAATTTTTCACAATTTCTAAGCCTGTCATGTATCCAGGATCCTTTAACCATAATGTACTGTGTAATTGAGAAAACTTGTATCAATATTAAACCGTGTAAAAAATTGTAACGAATTTGAATTTATGAAATAATCAAGGCTTTTATTTATAAACCATTTAAAATCATCCTGATTAAAAATGCAGCGGTTAGAAATATCGAACTCTTCGTCATTATTCACTTTTAAAGCTTCAACCATTTTCTGCCTGATACTATAATAAGTATTAGAATTAACTACCTGTCATGTATTCAATTGTTTTTCATGATTCAACATTTTTTATCATGGTATCATGAAAATTGCTTTTCTTAAATAATAAATTAGATTTTTCAAAAATAATCACAATGTTGTCAAAAAAGTTGAAAAAATTAGGAATTTACCGAGTGGTTAACTTTAACCGTGAATAGCTTTTGAAGGAGTAGGTTTGTCGAAAAATTGTAAGAAAAATTGAAATTTTTAGTATGCAAACAAACACGAGAGGCGCTTTATTTACTTTCATTTTCTTAACATGACAGATGAAGTTCTAAAGGGGGATGTTTTTTTTTGATCGACCGCGACGGGACGCTAAAATGGCCAACTTAAATTTCGGGTTATCACTGCCTTTCTAATTTTATTTAAAACGTGTAAAAATGAAGCAGGGGTAGACGTGGGGTAGACTCAACAATTTGTTGTTTTATTTTACGTTGTCAATAAATGTTGGTAGTTACTAAAATTGTTATAAAAATAGATTAGTTATAATAATTATTTATTAACACAAACATCCGATGCGCTCCTGAAGCAGGTAAGTCAAATTGACGTATCTAAATTCTTCTACAAATTCTAGCAAATAAAAGAAAAAATTCAATAAAAAATATACCTATAATTAGTTAATTTATATTTACATAATATTCACTGAAGCAGGTAAATCAAATTGACGTATCTAAATTCTTTGACATCTAATCTTTGACAAGTAGTAAATAAAATCAAAAATGCAAGAAAAAATATATAATTAGTTAATTTAAGTGGATTTCATAAATGATCGGTTTACTACACGTATGTATATTATATAGTCACTTACTAGCGAAAAGTTATTCCATTATTTCACTCGATTTTTGACCGAGATCTACCGCACGCTACACAACCAACTATTTTACAGTCTTTTTCCTTAAATCGCAATAGCGGCACTGTTAATTTAAGTTCTGCCACAATTTCCTTTTATATTTACTACCTTTATACAACTATCAGTAGTAGAATAAATAAAAAATAACATAACATAAGCTCAGTAAAGACTGACAAATCCAGGATATTTCAAATCAAATTCAAATGTGTCAAACGAATCGTCAAACAGAACTGTCAAGGATCTCCACCCTAGAGTCCTCTTTCCGTTGACCATGCATGAATACATGAATAGCATTATACTCCTTCCTTAATCTGTTTATTCAAAGTCTCATAGCATCTATTTCTCTGTTCACTACATTGTCCAGACCTCTGCTAGCCGCAGCGGCAGCCTCTTCAATTACTTCAATCCCAAGATCATGGATCATGTTTACTACTTCGTGAGATGCACTTCCACCATCCTTAACGACCTGAGTACCGTATCCTTTCGCGGTAACTCCAAGATTTTGGATACTATTTGTTCCTTTATCTCCCCCGAGAATTACATTTGCTCTGCTACCTAAATCAGGAGGTCTTCCTCCACGTCCTTTGCCACCTGTAATGTATAAAGTTCAATATTAGTTTTGTGCGTGCTTAAGTCCAAACGCACCATAAGAGGCGAATCTCAAATAATTTGTCACTCACACGTACCTCCGAGCGCTTCAATCCCTAAACCAAGAAGTCCTTTCCCGAATCCTGGCAAAGCTTCAACGTCTATGTGTAGTTTAGTAGTAGTTTCCGGTTCTACCATTCCATCGATGCCTAGCAAGGTACCGTCGACTATTCCTCCTCTGAGTATTCCTCGATTAAAAGAGGCACTGCTGGCAGGAGGAGTGACCTAAACAATAACTTTATTAAATACCAGTGATATACAGGGTGGCGCCTGTCATACGCCGCGGAAGTTCCAAGAGAACGGTATTTTATGTTGAAATGAATTTTTGTCCAATGAAAGCATTTTACAAGAATATATAGAATTATCAGGGTCCGGCAATAGTGCGTCAGGCATCTGTAGCTCCTATAATAACAAACTTGAGAATTTTGTTTAAGTATAAACCTAAAGTATGTACCAGAATGTATTTCAGGAAAATATTTTAACTTCTATAGAGTGGCTCAAAAAAATGCGAGTGGTCCTGGATGATTTTTTTTAAATGGAACACCCTGTATATTATTGCATTTTTTGGTTTCCTTTTATATCACTTTACATAATCCTAAGATATGAATAAATATATTTCGATAGTTTCAGAGATATTAAAAAATAAATCAAAAATATATATTTTGCAGCCCTTCTTAAAAAAAAGATTAAAAATACAAAAACTGTTCTGAAATCAAAACTATATTAGATATTTACTTTAGATGGTCTGTACTTACTTTGCTATAAATATGAAAACCATAAATTATACAGGATGCTCAAAATTCTACGCCAAAGTTACTAAAATATAAAATAATTTTTCTTCGTTTTTTTAAATGGAACACCCTGTATATTATTTTTTCAATAGACGGAGAATTAAAAAATGAACATTTTTTGTGTTTAGAGTATTTCAAAATTTTTAACAGTTTCGCAGATATTTGCTGTTTTATATTTCATATGGCATTTTCCACAGTAAATTTTTATCAATGCCACCCAATGATTTTTGTCTCGTATTTTACCATTGAAAGCGCCATATGAAATAATACTGCGTGTATCTGCGAAACCGTTAAAAATTTTGAAATACTCTAAATACAAAAAATGTTTATTTTTTTACTCTCCATCTAATAAAAAAATAATATTCCATTTAAAAAAAACATAGAAAAAATATTTTATATTTTAGAAAGTTTGGCGTAGAATAGTGAACATCCTGTATGATTTACGATTACCATATTTATAGCAAAGTAAGAACAGACCCTCTAAAGTAAAAACCTAATATAGTTTTGATTTCAGAACAGTTCTTGTATTTTTAATAATTTTTTTAAGAAGGGCTGAAAAATATATATTTTTAATTTATTTTTTAATATCTCTAAAACTATCGAAATATATTTATTCATATCTTAGGGTTATGTAAAGTGATCTGAAAGGTAGCCAAAAATGCAATAATATACAGGGTGTTCCATTTAAAAAATATCATCCAGGTCCACACACATTTTTTTGAGCCACCCTATAGAAGTTAAAATATTTTCCTGCAATGCATCCAAAATTCTCAAGTTTTTTATTCTAGGAGCTACAGATGCCCAACGCACTATTGCCGGACCCTGTACAGGGTATCCCAAAAAAAGTTACACATCAAAGTTGTGTTTTTTCTAATTTTTTTATATTAATTGATTTTCCGATTCTAGGAAAAAAAATAAAGATGAGTTTTATTAAAGAAGCATATACCTTAAATCTAAGGATTTTGACATATTTCACATTTTGTGAAAATGAAGAGTATAAATTTTAAATTCCGATAATAGCTACCTAAATTTTAGTTGATCTTGTATAGCCTGATATTTAATTACAGTAAACACTGTATGTTAAACCAAATTGAAATTTGACCCGAAAAGTTATACAGGGTGAAAATTAATATGGAACATTAGTCACTTTTAAAAGCAAGTTACTCCTTTATTTTAAATGGAACACCCAGAATATTTTTACGGTGTTCAATGGGGAATTCACATATCTTGAAAATATTATTAAGGTTGCCTACCACTCAGACAAAGGTTTTCCTAGATATTTTAATTTTTATGATTTTGCGTTAGTAGATCTTTATTATTTGAAAAAATCTAGATTGGCTGTGTGATATACCTTTTGTTAATTTAACAAAAATTAAAGATTGTAGAGTAAAATACTCAACGGTAATAAAAAGATACACGTTTAAAACATATTTTAATTATTATAGAATTAAAACTAGATATAAACCTATAATAACTATGTGACAAAAATTAGCTAGATGAAACCAAATGCTCAAAATGCTTTTTTTTCCTGTTAACTGCTTAAAATGATTGTCTTTTCAGAAGGATCTTTTCATTTTAAAAGGCATTTTATGTGGAGTTCTACCTCGAAAAGCAGCTACAATAATTTCTCTCATATTGTCGACAATAGTTGGTCGAGTTTTGTAAACACTTTCTTTAACATATCCCCATAAAAAAACCAGTCTAGATAAAATCAGAAGCATTTAAGTATTCACACTGCAATCACCAACTAATAGAATTATATCAATTCTCTCTGATGTCGGATAAGTTTGAATTTTTGACAAATTTCTGAGAAATTTTTTTGATTTAACTGACACAAAATGATAACTAGTTATTAAATTTGGTCTAATTTGACAGCTATGTTGAAGTAACGTCAGACATAATCACCAGTCATCTAGATTTTATCAAATAATAAAGATCTACTCAGATCAAATCATGTCAATATGTTCAATATTATATTTTGTATTATTTGCATACGTTTCAATTAACCCCAATCACTGTTTCACAATTACAGCTGCGTAACAAAGACGCATACATACCCTATGTTGTGAACCCGGTGGCATGGCAGGAGCTAAAATTCTGGACCCACCAGGCCTGGGAAAAGTAGTAAAAGAACCTGGCGGCTGCCCTGGTTGCAATGGCTGAACGCTTTGAAGTCGCTCAGGTGGATATAGACCCGAGCTAGCGTAGGGGTCGGTACAAGCACGACAATGACAGCCGTCTTTGAGATTGCAACGAAGATTCTGCCCGGGTTGTCGGAGTTGTGCCGTACTCAGGGTTGGCGCGCTTGCCTAAAAAGAACAAAATAACATCTTAGGCTGTTAATAGTGTAGAAAATTATTTGTGGAATGTTGTGTTAATCAACGTTTATAAAGCAAACTACACTTTATTTTGAACAAGGAATCGCCCCCTGAAGTTTTTCGCATTTGGTTTGAAACAGCCTGTATAAATAAGATCAAACGTATCCAGCAAGGGTTTCTAAAGATTCTGAGCTTTGAAATAGATGGAAATTATTGTTATTATTTCTCATTCTCCTTGTTCTTTCTCGCTGATATTTGTCTACGTGACCGGCCTTGGCGGTTTGCTAATTAAAAACCGCCATAATAATTGTAACTGATCGCTTAAAACCGTTCTTGGTTGTGTGCGAGTGTTTAGAAAGGATGCTGTCAAATACACAAGCTATAAAAAACCAAAGCAAAAAGAAATCGACAGAGATCACGTAGCCTGTGCTATTTTGCATTGATAATTCGTGGAACATATTCATTTTTTTCTACGTTTTTTATTCTTTTCCTGTCTTGAATAGTATTTTATCGCCTTGAAAAAACTTAATGTTTTAATCTAAATAAATATAACAAAGTCATAAAAATGGGGGTACTCATTTAAGATATGAATATTTTGATATCAAACACTCTATACAGGGTGAGTCTTAAATAAGTGCAAATATTTTGACGACTGGTAGATATTGATAATATATTTTCTCTTTACCATTTTTCAAATAAGTCCAAAATAACCGAGTTATTTAAGTTTGGAAATAAAAAAAAATGATTTTTTTGGAAAAAATTTGAGAGCCACCGGATTTTTTCTGTATTCGCATCCCTTTTAGTACCGTAACCATAGAGTAAAGCCGTATAACTATGGTAATATCAGAGATTAAGAATTTATACCGTGGTAAAATTTGCGGTGAACAGGCAGTTCTAAAAAGTTTTCGAAAAATATACAGGGAAATTTAAAAGAAAATGCACGATTTTCAACATCTTTTTTTGTGAAAAAACCTCATAGAGGTGTTCCTGGGGTCGAAATATACCAACCCTGAAAATATTTGCACTTATTTAAGACTCATCCTGTACTTAACATTAACCGTTTCTGAGAAAAAAGAATATTTAAAATTTTTGACCGAAAAAAACCGCCTGTTAAAAAAAATTGTATAACCTCAACGTCAATGAAAAATATGTGGTAAAAAATAGGGATATGTACCTATTTAAAATTGATAAAAAAGTTGCTATCAACTTCTGGTCCTTCCGGAAGTGCCGCCATATTGAAAATATTTTCGATCGATAGATCTCGTTGTGAAACAACGATATGCAAAAAATCTATAATCTAGATATTGTAGTTCTCAAAAAACTTCCAATTCACGCTCAGCCTGGGACACCCTGTATATAAACAACGATAATACCAATCAAAATACTTACATTCAAGAAGCTGACAGATAGAGCCTGGAGAATTTCATTCATTTTAAGCTTCTTATCATCTTCGCTCATCTTAACTGAAATTCAAACAAAAAATGATAATATCACCGAAACTATAGTTCCAAGAAATGTCGTAATATATCTACAAATTCATTTACCCACTAGTAGATATAAAAAGCATTTTTGGTAAACTCTGTCTCAAATAGTTTCTGAAAAATAAAATTAATTTTTTTAAAAAGGTCCGATTAAATTTATATCTCCGAAACTAAAGTTCCAAAAAAATTCGTAATATATCTAGAAATTCATTTACCCACTAGTAGATATAAAAAGCATTTTTGGTAAACTCTGTCTCAAATAGTTTCTGAAAAATAAAATTAATTTTTTTAAAAAGGTCCGATTAAATTTATATCTCCGAAACTAAAGTTCCAAAAAAATTCGTAATATATCTAGAAATTCATTTACCCACTAGTAGTTATAAAAAGCATTTTTGGTAAACTCTGTCTCTAATAGTTTCTGAAAAATAAAATTATTTTTTTTTAAAAATGTCCGATTAAATGAATATCTCCGAAACTAAAGTTCCAAAAAAATTCGTGATATATCTAGAAATTCATATACCCACTAGTAGTTATAAAAATTATTTTTGGTAAACTCTGTCTCTAATAGTTTCTGAAAAATAAAATTAATTTTTTTAAAAAGGTCCGATTAAATTTATATCTCCGAAACTAAAGTTCCAAAAAAATTCGTAATATATCTATAAATTCATTTACCCACTAGTAGTTATAAAAAGCATTTTTGGTAAACTCTGTCTCTAATAGTTTCTGAAAAATAAAATTATTTTTTTAAAAATGTCCGATTAAATGAATATCTCCGAAACTAAAGTTCCAAAAAAATTCGTAATATATCTAGAAATTCATTTACCCACTAGTAGTTATAAAAAGCATTTTTGGTAAACTCTGTCTCTAATAGTTTCTGAAAAATAAAATTATTTTTTTTTAAAATGTCCGATTAAATGAATATCTCCGAAACTAAAGTTCCAAAAAAATTCGTGATATATCTAGAAATTCATATACCCACTAGTAGATATAAAAAGCATTTTTGGTAATCTCTGTCTCAAATAGTTTCTGAAAAATAAAATTAATTTTTTTAAAAAGGTCCGATTAAATTTATATCTCCGAAACTGAAGTTCTAAAAAAATTAGTAATATATCTAGAAGTAAGTAGATATATTTAATTTACTTACCATTGTATCCTTCGAAAACCCGGTGTACAACAATTAAACTCCATGATAAAAAATAACTAAGAGTCTATACAAAACACAAATTGTCCCACCGTTTTTAAAAAAACATTGTCTAAAACAGAATACGGCCAAAAAATCTGAAGGAATTTAGTTTTACAATAATTCGACAAACTAAAACGAAATTAAACCGTAAAATCACAACAAAAGCGTTTCGTGTCAATTAAAAATCAAATTTTATTATTGTCAGATATTGACATTTGCATTGTTGATATTGACAGCTGTGATTGACAGTTTTAATATTTTGCGCCTCTGCATCTTGCAGGAAAAACTAATTTTAATGAACTGTCGTTTCCATTTAAGTTTCCCAGCCATGATGGAACCGTTAAAATGACTTTTTAAACGTGTCATCATAGTAGCTTTGTTCGAGTTCCCAAAAAGTACGGTTCTAGAACGGTTCAAAACACTGGCACAATATGATTTTTTTGCAACATTTGACATGAATGATTGTCATAATTAGACTGTGCGATTGTTTTAAACCGTTCTAGAACCGTACTTTTTTGGAACTTGAATTAAGCTTATATGTTTTTCTGACCTAATTATCGTAGTTTGACATGAATAGGCCCTAAAGCTCACAATATCTTAAATTCTTTAGATACTAAAAAGAATAATACTAATTTGGTATTTTTTTGGAAATAATTTGGGTATTTTTGGTACTTTTTTCCCAAAATTGGTATTTATGGTACACCATTTTTGGCAGCGGTTTGCCCCTCGAATATTTCTTTATAAACTTTTTTTAAATTCACTCAAAAATTTGATAAAGAAGTTCAGAATCACATGATATTTCTATTAATTGATTTTCCTGTACCGTTGTCAAGCCATTGATATCTTAATAATCTTCGATGAAAGGGTCTGCCATCCAGTTTTTAGTTCTGTCCGGCTCTGAAAATTATTCCCGAAAAGATGACCTCAAACCGCAGAGGTGTTTGATCTGTCGTCTTCTAGTTGCGTTGGCAACATTTCCCCACCAGATAATTTCTCTGGTGGGGAAATGTTGCCAACGCAACTAGTATCTAGTATCAGAAAAATATGCCACCATTGTTAGCCATTCAAAGTTATTGTAATGATCAGTATGTTTATTGGCGCTGCCTACAGCTACAGAATTCTTAAAACAAATTCTGATCTCATCTCTTAGCTCAAAAATACGCGACATAACAATTTAAGACACGCTGATCTAGAAGATAAACTACTAACCTGGAGATGAACATCCTGAGGCAATACCAGCTCTTTCTCTCACTTGTTGCATGCATGCGGCAGCTTCGTTTAGCAGAGTAACCAGCGATTCCATAAAGCTATTGTAATTCGAGACATCTTCGAAGCTTAAATTCAAGCCTTGCGGTGGATTTTGACCGGCGTAAGTCTGGTAAGGCTCACCAACAGGCGGCATCGACGACATTTTTTTTCACAGGAATTTTAAATTAAAATTTTTCACATATTTTTCAAACAAAAAACGAACCGAATATTATTTTGACAAACGACGTGTGACGTTGAAATTTTATGGTTTTAATTGTAATTGCAGGTAAAAAAATTGGCGCTGGGAGGCACGTATAGCCGTCCATACTAAAATATGTTAATAAAAAGTTGGTAGGCAGTTCTTTTAGTTTCAATTATCTCAAAAACTGCGACTTTGACTGATTTTGATGTTATTACAAATTTTGTTGCAAATATTATTCCTAATCTTAAATTGAAAACTGCGTTTCGCTAGCTACTGTAATTTTGGAGTTACGATTTTTTAAAATTTTTAACCCCCTAAAAGTGGGCAACGCAATGCCGGTCAAGCTTAATCACGTGGCTAAAAGTTTATTTGATACGAACTATAGACCAGTTTATGATAGGTTCGTTCCAACCGGACCGAGCACCGATACTGGGACGGTAATTTCTAGTCGCCCACTTATTGTTTGAAAAGTTTGATCCACAGACTTAAAATAAAATATAGACTACACTATTTACATCTCAACGCGGACAAACAACCTTTTTTGTACACATGTTTACTTCTGGGTACAGTCGACCGAGCCTTCCTCATCCAGCCTATGTTGTCACGTCTTTAATATTATCAATATTTTTTTTCTTGTTATACACATATATTAAGATATTAATACTACAGTTTAATAAAGTAGGTTTTAATATTCCATAGATGTATTAAATAGTCCTTATACTACTAAGTTATAAGTCGGATACTGTTTAATAAGGATAAGTTCTTTACAATATGACAACACCGACTAGAGGAGAGGGAGCCTATTCATTCATTTATTACCTTATAGTACGTGTCGCACGTGTGCGGTAAAGCTTTGTTGCCGCTATCTCCCCGGCTGTATTAACGCATTTTCTTAGCTTGTAGTCCTTAAGTGTTTATTTTATTGACTTTTTCTGTTCAAAAACTATAAAATATGGTTCGCCAGTGCCAAATTTGCAAGAAATTTGACTTAAATAATCCATTTAAGTCTTGAAACGACTTTTGACCGGTAGGCAACTCTCAATTTACCCATTGGCAGTCAGTGGCGTTGTTGTAGAAAGGCGCTTATTTAGATAATATTTTTAGTAAAATGTAAAATCTGAATTTTTCTTTTACCATTACATTATTTACTTACTTACATTGTAACAAAATCATAATTATAACCCTGTTAATAATTAATAATGTTTTTATTAAACATATATTCCGGTTTATTCTAAAATTATCTTCAGAATCTAAAATAACGTACAAGAATTTTAAAATGATATTACATTATGAAACAATATTTTTAATATACCGGGTCGTCTCAAAAAGTGGCTCAACCCTATAACTTTTTTTTTTTTTTTTCAGATAAAAAACAGATTTGTATGTTAGTAGGTATATGACATAAATTAGGATTTATTGACGTATTCAATTGTTTTGGTCTCTTCCTGTTTCACCGAAATGATTACATCTTTTGATTTTTAAAGGCACCCTCGGTATATTGCTACTTTATTCGATAAAAAATGACACTCTGAATAGAATGACATATCATATGTCAACTTTGACATTGTCGCTTAAAACATATCCTATTTTAAATTTCAATCCAGTTTTTTCAATCCACTAAGTTTTAATCAAGGAGCCTTGGAAAAATAGTTTTGATCGTCTAATAGGTTTCGTGTCTTGTCTAGGCCGGTTAAAAGATGTACAAATCGTATTTTTAATCATACATATGTCAATTTTTTCAAATGGAACAATGGTGACTCGTTAGCATATTTGGAAAAAGCATTTTTTTATGAATATATTGATACCACACACTTGGTATTTCGAGTCAAATTGTCGTTATGAACCGCGTGTTACAATTACAATTAAACCATATGCGAAAATGTCAAAAGTTGACATATGATATGTCATTTTATTCAGAGTGTCATTTTCTATCGAATAAAGTAGAAATATACCGAGGGTGCCGTTTAAAAATTAAAAGTTATAGTCATTTCCGGTGAAACAGGAAGTGACCAAAAACAATTGAATGCGTCAATCAATCCTAATTTACTTCATATACTAACATACTAAATCTTGTTTTTTTATTTGAAAATATAAAAAAATTATGGGGATGAACCACTTTTGAGACGCACCCGGTATAATAAAGACAGTACCGAGTTAAATAAATGTAGTTTTTATTTTATCCACTTCCTATCACCTTCCTTGCTTTAATGGAACAGATTTATGTTTTCTCTTATTTACATAATAAGACATCACTTAACAAGAAAAAAAATTACAACAATCATATTTTTTTTTCTCTCCCTGTCGCCAATTCTATTATATCTGTGGAATAGATCCTGTTTTGATTAATATTAGGGGTTGTAAATGTTTGACTAAAATTAATAATTTATTATTAATTTCAAAAATTACCTAATTTCGATTATAAAATTTCTTCTATAACGTGTATTTTATTATTTTTATCCTTTTTGGACTCTAAATTGTTTTTTCTAAACTTTTATTTAAAAAACCTGTCCTAAATCTTAATAAAATATAAAAAAGTTTAAATACGATATATTTTTTATTTAATTATAGCTTCATTAAAATAAAAAAAATACCCGGCTATGATACGGAGAGTTCAGGTGTACTTGAGAAACGAAAGACAGTGTTGTGTTTCTCGGCAGAGTCGTCAGGGAACGACCGTTACGACAGAGACAGCCTATCTATCGCTAGTGTCGCACTCGTTATAACCTAAAACAATAACACAACAATAACAAGACAGTGTCTGACCGCATGTTCCAGCTATTTATGAATGAGATGCTCAGTCTATATTTTATTTTAAGTCTATGGTTTGATCGTTTGTCAAGATTAACAAATGAATTGATTCATAGAAAACTACCGTTCTAGGACGGTTCTCACGTCCGGTTGGAACAAACATGATATAGTAAACGCCACGAATGTTTGGGAGTGATTTATCGGTCGCTACCATGTGACAGATTAGTTCACAAGGTCACATAAAACTTAATTCCAGTGCCGTGGTGTTTCAAGTCATTATAATAATCAATATATAATCTGTTGTAATTTATTGTTTTAACTGTCAAAGTCTTGTCAAAGCATATATTTGGTTATAAATATAAAATGGAATGCCCCATTGGTCGCACTGCAAGCACACCAATGGACTGACGCACAAAAACGAATCAATCAAAGAAATGCGATATAGTATCGTCTTTGTCAATCATGCTAAAATTTAGAATAAGTAGGAGGAGCGCAGACAGATGATTAGGCCGGACCTTTAAAAACCTACGTCTGCGGTAAAAATTTACGTATTTAATGTAAAAATGATAGCGCGCGTGTCGATTCTAACTTCATCAAGCGATGAATCACTCCCAAACATTCGTGGCGTTTACTATATGACTGTTTATACGGTTATTAAAAACATTTTTGACAAATATTAATAGTTTATTGACACGTCATCTATATCGTTACACACTTTATAAACATTTTCAAAATCCATAGTCTAAATATCGGTGCCGAAACTTTGATAACCACCTGAAGAATTCTGAAACAAAACCGATATATTATATTTTAGTAAAAAGTGTTCTTAAAAAGATCCATATCAAGTTTTCTTTAGAATCGACCTAAATTCTACGTTGCCGTCTCCTTCTTGCTGCTAGGGCTAATCTTCTGGAACTTCGACATAAAAACGTTACACTTTCAAAGCGGTAAGCGAAAATAATCGATTAGCGGAACACCAAGCAGCCGATTTTGATATTCTCGTTGCCGTGCGAATCGTTTTTTCTATGCTTATGTCATTACTCTTATTATACGAGGGAAATATTGAAGACGCCTCTCAGCATTCTCGATGTTTTGAACAATATTTATAGCGTAAATTATCAATTACCTTATTGGGAAATTTATAAAAGAAGAAATAGTTTTCACTAAAGCAAAACGATCCTTTAAGGTAGCTGTTTTCCAATCGCTTAGCGCAATAATAGGTAATTATCGCATCAAATGAGAATACCCAAATCGGTAGTTAAGTGCGCGCTAAGCGAAAATTAACGTCATATACGTTGAGCGTCTAAAAGCGCTTAGCGTTATAGAATTCGGGCCCTAAAGTAGAAAACATGATACGGGGCTCTTTTCGAACAACTTTGGCCACTCTCTATTTAAAGTACACACATAATATGTAGGCTTTCTGATACAAGCCGGGGGATATCCATATCCTCTAGACCCTGACTGGCTTCGGGAAAGCTGTTGTTGTTCTCCAAAATATGATCCTCTACCACTACCTGAAGTTAGAATATTAGAAATAAGTCCCACAAAAATAAAAAATTAGAGTCAAAAGTTTCATGCAGAATCTCCAATTTACTGCCAAATGGACAAAAAATCAGATTTTTTTGCAAATATCTGCCAAAATATGCAATTTACAAAATTTTTCTTGGAACAAAAAATGAATATAACAAAAACATGTTTACCGGCAGAGTAACTAGTGTCGCCATAGCCAGGATACTGTGCTGCACTTCCAGGGTGTATTTGCCGGTACTGTCTTCCAGGAGGACCGCTTGGATACTGTCCTGGATATCGTCTGGGCTGTCTTGGATATTGCATTGAAGGTGGAGGGCCTACTGGCTGAAACTGTCCTGGAAAAGGACCTCCTGGGTATTGTGCCGAAGGTGGAGGGCTTCCTGGTTGTAACTGTCCGGGAAGAAAACCACCTGGGTATTTTACCGAAGGTGGTGGACCTACTGGTTGAGGGTGGTCTGAAAGAGGACCCTCCGGATGCTGCCGTCCAGAAATTGAAGGGCCTACTGATTGGGACTGTTCTGAAACTAGACGTCCCGGTAATTGTTCTGGAGTTGATGAGGCTACTGAATGTACTGGTGTTGATGAGGCAACTGGATGTGCTAGAGTTAAAGAGGCTGCTGGATGTGCTGGACCTTGACCTTCTGGAGCTTGACTTTCAACTGATTTCTACAAAATGGTTGAAAAGGGTAAGTGCCGAGTATGTCAATGAGATACAGTTTATTATATTGATTTCTTACTTTAAGAAGTCTTGCTTTTTGGCTTTCGAGCGTTGCTACTTCTTTGTATTTCATCCGGAGCCTGAACGATATGTCTTCTATTTTTCTTGATAGCTCTTCATCGCTAATTTCGTCTGAAAATTATATGCAAGTCAGATTCATCTACATTTCAGTGGTGCTTTCACCCCCTTGGAACTGGAATTTCGAAAAATCCCTTCTTATCGAACCTCTACACCCTAGAATCAACCTGTATGCCAAAATTCAGCTTCTTACGTTGAGTGGTTTGAGCAGGATCGTGATTAATCAGTGAGTCAGTCACTTATAATTTTTATATATTAGTATAGATTTTCTACTTACAATTCGGGTTTAAACCTGATTTCTCCCGCGCTTGGGACACCGTAACCCACGATTCATTCATAAACGAAGTCAGGGCGTTCATGAACTTTCCGTCGTTCTTCAGGCAGGTCCAAACCTGCTGACTACTGGCAGGCCTGTGCAGTGACGTTGACTTCGAAGGCACATTGGGCTTCGTCGGCATTGAAGTGGTCTTTTCTATTGCAGACATTTTACTGAGGATTATCGGTTAAAAATGATGACGGAAATCGCTACATAAGGGTTGTAAGAGGGTACTTAAATTTTGACAGGTATTTAGAAGTATGTCTGTTGAGTGACGTTTGTCAGTTACCTTGATATCGAACAAGTTATATATTAATTTGGTTTTGCTCTGTTTTTTTTTCTCAGGTAAGATTTCGACAGACGATGACAGAAGAAAACCAGATGACATCCCATAACAATCTATTTATTTTACTAAAAAAATGTCTAATATTTTTATTTAACTATGGATGGGTTTAAATCCTAGATCATATATACTTACGTGGATAAATCAACGCCATAAGTTTAGCATTAAAAAAATATGTCCTCAACATCACGACATGCAATTTTCAAACCTTTTTATTGCACTTATGAAACGTTCAATAGGTTTGTCTTTCTCGAGGACATGACTTTACGCATGCGCATTAAAAGTGGCATGTATTTCCAACTGATAGGAATTTTCCGTTATTTTGTGTGTTTTTTCTTGTTGCAATTTAGGAATGGAGTTAGAGCAGCTAATTAAGGCTGTAAAAATACACAAAATTCTATATGATTTATCCCATCAAAGTTACAAATAATAGAAATAAAAATAAAAAGTTTGAGAGAAAATTGAAGTTCCAATTGGATTGGATAGTACACATGTATACATTTTTAATGTTTAAGTTTAAATTTTGTAGGTAAATATTTAAGAATGTTTTTTTTTCGGTATACACAATTCACATTTTTAATTTGTACCTATGTATACCTACAGGACCATCCTGCACTACATATAGGTACGGCGGTGAACGTGAAGGCGTTGGTGTGTGCTAGAATGATCGCTCATGTTATCGCTGCACTGATCGTGATCGTGATCGCGGCCGTGATCACACCAGTGTGTGTGTAGCTTTATACACCAATAAAGTTACATTCAATAAAGTGTGTAAACCATCTTGTCGTAGATAAGTGCATCTCGTATATGCTACAAGGATCGTACACTTATGTCTAGCCCTAGCAGGCAACTATTAGACCCGACCAATCACGTTAGAGTTTTTGACAAACACAAATGAATTAACACCCTCCAAATAACCACGCTAACCAACCCAAGTAGCATTTTCACGACTTGCGACCACATGTTTACTAAACACAACGTTGGATTAGTTACAAAAAATAGTTAGCTCCCTACCTTAGGTATTAAAATAAATTTAAACGTTTTTATAACGTTGTGCCGACGTTGGACTTGTACTACAGCAAAGTAGAAGCTTCTGCGACGTCGAATAAACGTTGTCTTCTAACCTTTTTGCTTAAGTGATCTTTAGGTGATTCGGGCAACGTAGCTACAACGTTGGACAATATAGAGTTTTCCGACGTCAGTTTCAGGACCTATTCCAACGTTATGCAAACGTCGTCTGTTTTACTAATTCCAACGTTGTTTAGATTTCCTTATTCTTACGTTGGTAGGACGTCGGGTCACTACCTTTTGCAACTCTATTGAACCATAACCTTAAATCTTAAATTTTCACTTCATTGTTCTGTTCAGTCAGACAGTTCAGTGCTGTTTTTTGTTTTATATAAAAAATTTAATTAAAATGGGACATAAGAGAAGGTACATATAAAACTAAATTTAAATATACATCGACATATATTACCGATAATTTATCCACTCCCTCGTTTATTTAGATTATAGAGGGCGGCACAAGCTAGACTCTAGGATGACTAAATTAGGCAATCTTGCGACTAGTATACTACCTGTTAAGGCCGAACTGCGACTTTATTAGTCCAGTATGCGACTACTCGAACTACTCCATCTTAATCTCCAAAACAACAAAGTGCAAGCCGCCATGTTGTTAAATAAGAAAATGTTTCGTTTTTAAAATAGCAATTCCTGCTTTTTGAATACATTAACTTGAAATATTTGACCCTAAAAACACGCGGAAACAATTTTTTTCGACTGCGAATGAATTATTCTCATTTTACTAAAAAAAAATTCAAGAATTTTTTTAAAACTTCTTTAGTTTTAAGGCCCATTAGTATTTTTCAAAGTAGAAACAATACATTTATCAATAAAGATGTTTGCGTTTAACTTTTTTTTGCCTTGGGTAACGAGTTACAGAGTCGGTTAAAGTGTTTCAATAATTATGATCTTCAAACATCCTCCACACTTAAATACTTTTGTTTTGTTTTCCTTCACTGCCATCTGACATATGTCTCTAACTAAACCATAAAAATAATATTTTTACTATAATTATCCCAATTTAGGATAAAACGCGACTTAGACGCCATATTAGTTTTGTATTTCTGTGAATTAGGATTTTAAACAGCGTTGCAGATTGTACTAAATTAGGCTTCTAGCCAACGTCGGTATCCAACGTCGTTTCGACCCAAAAATTATTCTCCAAACTAGTGTAGACTAGGGTTGGCACGAGGTTGTGCCGACGTTGCGCCCCGACGTTTGGTCGTGTGACACAACGTTGTCCCGACGTACAAATGCTGCTTGGGAACCTGATTGGTCAAGCTTAATAGTTGACTGCTAGCGCTAGACACTTCTGGATCTGGAGTAGCTGTAAAATATCGACATCACACGATAGGTAAATAATTGATTTTAGTACTGCAGAAAAATAATGTCAAAAGGTACTGGTTTAAAAAAATTAAGATTAAAGTTAATTAATCAACCTTTAAAGTATAAAATTTGGTAAGTGTTATTATTAATAAAATAGTTTGTTTTATTTATGTTGTTTTATTTATTCTTGTGGAATATTACAAATTTGTATTTGTAGATAAGTTATATTGATAAATATAATAATAAATGCGGGAAGTTTCTTGAAGCTTGAAAGTAAGAAATAGTTCTTTTTTATATTTTTTTGGTATGTGATGTTTTGTTTTAACACATACCGTTTTTTTTTAAATAAAATAACTCGATTACATTTTTTCAGTTTTATGCAATTTTTTTCACAATATTTTGGGTAGATTGGTTGGGTGTTACATTTTTTTACAAGAAGAGTGGTTTGGCAGTTATTTTTTTTCAGAATTGGAATGATCATCTACAAAAGAATTTGTTGAACTGAGATAAGCATACGATGCACGGGGCACTGTTTGCAACCTTGGAGATGGAGAAAGAAAGCAACAATTTGCAACTTATAACCCAGGTCGCCCATGATTATGAGCTTCGTCTAGAACAGGCTAAAGATATAGCCAACAGCAACCCAAATGATTCCTGGTTTCTGTTTGTTGGTATCGATTTCATCGTTTGCTGATTCTTTACCATACTGATGATGCTGGAAAGCAATTGCACTAGTATACTCTACTACATTGAACCTCACGATTTCAAAAAACTTTATTTTAATAATAGCAATTGTATAGTATTATTTATCGAAAAGTGTTTATTAAACATAACATCAGACAGACACAGTGGGCAGTAATATGAAATTCTTCCTTTGTTCCTTTGTATTGCTTCTCACTTAATTGTATTGTTGATTTGGATCATCAAAAACTGAAACAGAAAGTATATTACATTTTAGGAACATATTGTTTGTTGAGATAGCTATTTTGTACCTTCGCCTGGTCCCGTTTGTGATCGTCTGCATTCAACAATTACCCTGCGTGGTTCTGAAAAGCAAATTATCTCAGTTAAAAAATTAAAGATACGGAAAAAGAATAAAGCAAAAAATGATATCGATACCACAGATTAGGTATCCTATAAGTATACAGATAAAAATCTTGTCCCTAATTCGTGGTACGATAGTTGTTTTTTATGACGATGTGCAAACGAGTCAAATTTTCTGTGCGCAAAAATAAACTCGCATAAAATAACAATAAACAGCGTAATAGAGAGATATCGCTAAACCGAATAGCGTGCATGGACGTTAATAAGGCCAGGTGTTATTTCCTTTGCGTGAGGTGGTATTAACTCTCTTCATTTATAGTTATCGGATCGGAAAGAATTCTGATCGCGTCGCGTCCGCTATTTAAACTTAACCTAACTTTGAATTTAAAACTTTGAAATTGTTTTGTTCACTAGGTATTTTAAGGGCTAAAGTGCTTATTTCCAGTGCTTTATTGTTCAACGTCTGCCAGTGGGTTTAGGGCAACAAGCAACAAATTCTCTTAGAAGGGCTAAGTCGTCATCTGCTGTAAACCTAAGACTCTTTATAGGTTCTTTAGTATTGGAAGAGGTGGAATCCATATTTTGGGCCATATTTATTTAATTAAAACTAATCCCAGCTAGTTAAATATCAAATTACCTAATAAAACTAAAGTAATAATTCAAAACAATTCAAACATAACCTAAAATAAAAGATCTCGCCGGCCCAAGAACAGTTAACCTAATAGGGCTGCTCATTCAGCCAAAAATGTCCGCCAGGTGCATGCGAAAACTACTCGCTTTGTGACGTCATTGTAGCCCTTGTCATGGTTATTAGTCCTTATCCGGCAACCAATAAAACACACGTGCATTATTGGTTACCGAATGCAAAACGTGCATTATTTAGTTTATTTATTTAAACACCTTATATGAATGCAGTATAGAAAATTAACTGTATAAATGCTATTAAATACTCGGATAATGCATTTTTAAGAACAGCAGTTCCCAGCATCACCTTTTGCCATGCATTCTTTTTAGAGTACTTCCATATTTTGCTTTAAAATAATTAATAAACAAAATCGTGGGCACTTAGTATGCACTTTGTCACAATCCACAACACAAAATGAACGTATTTATACACTCATAGCTCTAAAACTTTAAAGACACCTTTTTCACATTTAAAATTGACAAAATAATTAACTCAAAATTTCTCAGCTGTTATTTTTATAAGTTTACCATAGGCAACTAATAATACACACTATCATGACAAGGCCACGAAGGCTTTGACAAGGGCTACAATGACGTCACAACTGTCAGCTGAAGCGCGGGAAGAGGCGAACGTACGTCTTATGAGGATGAGCAATCCTATTAGTTTATCGTTCTTGTCGCCGGCCGGCTCCGGTTGTCAAATACCCGCACATGCCCATTTAAGTAATTTTTAAACGTTATCAGAGGTTATTTAGAAAGAGCGTTTGGTGTAATTGATCCGCAAATTACGTCAGGCGGTAACGTTATTAGCGGGTGTTGCGTTAAAAATTGACTCGCGCATATCGTACTACGCGTAAATACTGGACGCTATTCGGTTTTCCGATATCTCTCTAATAACTGTGCCGGTCAGGCGCTGTGCACAATTTTAGAGGCCATAAGTGGGCGTGCTATGTGCGCAAACTAGTCACCTAACTAGTGCCCGATTCCGAAAATTGGAACCACGAAAAACAATAAAGAAAAAACAAAGATTATAATCTGTGTCGATACGTTAGGTTCAAATTACCTTGTGACATAGGCCCTTGTGGACCATATGGTATTTGGGGACCGATGGGCATGTGTTGTTGACCAAACGACTTAGGCTGTTGCCCACCGAATGCCGGAGGTTGTGGACTAAATGGCATAGTTTGCTGGCCTGGTGGCATACCTGCCACCGAAGTCCCCTGATAGTTTGGATAACTAGAATATTGTTCAGCCGTATTCTGTGACCAGGTACCTAAAATTGAAAAAAAACAATGAAATTTATTTTTTATTCTTTGAACCTGAAAGGGCACATAGTGGCTACCATATTTCATTATGAACATAGAAAATCCTGAATATTTTTCATATTAAAAGTGTTTACTGTAAAATTATTTCAATTATTTTAAAAGTGTTAGGAAGTAGATATAATTTGTGAAAATTCTAAAAATAAAAATAAAAAAGTAAATATTTTGATTAACTATAAGTTTTTTTTAGGTAAATTTTACCAGTATTATTGGCACTTTTTGAGGGGCATGGTCCTCCTTGTCTACAATGTAAGTTCATGGGCAGGGCATCACCAGGGCGTTCTGCATAAGTTGTTCTGTTCGCGTTCACCGTTGCTGTTGAATAATATAGCATTTAAATCATTTTTTTTCAGTTACTGCCCAAATTGTTGCAAACATAGATTTTTATATTATTATAAAAAGTAATAAAGACTGTTTTAGCGTTTAGGATAGCTGAACAAAGATGACACTTTGTTTTACTGATATCATTATAATGTATCTTTGTAAATAATCAAAAATGGTTTACCTTGTCCTCCAGGAGGCGGTGACATGGTCGAATTAAAGGGTGGAGCAAATGCTAAAATTGGAAGATTTCAAGACAATTTATTCTAAAATGTTTCTTAGTTATTATTGAACCAGATAGTTCAGTTTAGGTTTCAATGTGTAATATTTTGAGTTTTTTTAAAAATAATGATTAGAGCATAAAGAAAGTTAAGTTTCATTCAGGACCCCAAAATTAGTGGAATAAATTAGTGGTTTCTATTAAGTTTCATTCAAAACCTCCCAATTAGTGGACTAAATTAGTGGTTTCAATTAGCGTAGAAGTTAAAATTAGTGGTAGGAATTTTCAATTAGTGGAAGAAGTTAATAAACTTTTAACTTTTCCATTAATTATACTTCAAAATTTGCGACGAATGTCATTTTGGCCTTTGATTTTCATCTGTCAAGACAAAATTTGGTTAAACATCAAAAGTTTATTGTTATATATAATATAAATTCAGGTCAGAACGTCCTACGACGTTGTCCGATGCCTAACTTCCACCCTGTGCGATTTTCGCATCGATCTTCGGTCAGATTTTTCTCGCTCATCGACCTTCTTATTCCTTCCATCCATGTTTTCTTGGGACGTCCTCTCTTTCGTTTACCAGGTGGTATCCAATGAATGACTTGTTTTGGAATTCTTTCATTGTGCATTCTCTGAACGTGGTCGTACCATATTAATTGTTTTTGTTCTATTATCATTTACTATTGTTCCCTCTATTCCCATCTGTTGTCTAATGTCTTCATTTCTGATCTTATCCCTCCGTGAAATTCTCATTGCTCTTCTAATCGCGTTCATTTCTGTTGTCTCTAATTTCCTTTTATTCCTTTCAGTGAGTCGCCATGTTTCACATCCATAGAGTAATATGCTTTTAACTAGTGTCTTGTATATATTATATTTCCTGTTTTTTGTAATTTCAGTGCTCCATAGAATGCCATTTATGCATCTGATAACTCTTCGTGCTTGTATTACTCTGTTGTTTATTTCTCTATTGTCCGTTCCATCTCCTGTAAATATCGATCCCAGGTACCTGTAATCTTCACATGCCCTAATTTCCATATTATTGTCTAAAATAAGATTTTCTGTATTAGCTCCAATTGGAAGGTATTTTGTTTTTTCTGTATTTACTGTGAGACCCCTTTAGCATATTCTTCAATTATTTTCCGCACCATATATTCCATGTCATCTTTGTCGTTTGCAATTATGGCCTGGTCGTCTGCAAATTGCAAGGTCTTTTAGAAGTCAAGAAGTTTATTGTTTTATAAGCTAAATATTAGGCTTTCTCTATGGATACAACTGACTACTAGAAGCTGTTGCTAGGATATTCTATTAATTTTAATAGTGTTTTTTAGATATAAAAAATGATCGTAAACTCGTAAGAATAAATGACATTTGACACCAGTAATTTATTCTACTAATTCGAGGTTCTGAATAAAGCTCTACTGTTTTTCTTTTGTATGAAAAATTTAAATGATTACTATTAAACTGTTTTTAACTTAAGTTCTAAGATTACACACTAAAATCTGTATCTTTAATCATTCTATCCACAATTACAGATAGCTGAACAATACTTACTTGCGTTACCTGTGAAGAAATACAAATACAAAGATTAAATTTAAGAAAATATTAAAAGTAATATTAAAAATAATACTATACCTCTCGTAGTAGTTCCAAAACCACCTGAAAATATAAACATTTTTAACTATTCGTATAAATATTTTTATTGCAATTTACTTGATGATAACTTTTGTCTCAAATTAGGCGGATATGGTCTACCTGGTGGCAATGGGCTTCCACCATAGGACTATAAAAAGAAAATAATTTAGAAATATATTATTAAATCTGCCGTAGCAGGAAACAAAACAATTAAAAGTTAAGTTTTTTTCTCGAACGTCACAAAAGTATTAATTTATATCCCCCAACTCAAGAATCATACTTCTTCAGCTAATGATAAACTGCTGATAGACACATGCCTTCCAGTTCAAAAGGACCCAGTCCAGGAAATATTTCTTGTTATAATTCGGTTTTAATATATTCTTTTGAAGATAATAGTGTTATTTATTAATGAATTTATATTCCCCAACTCAAGAATCGTACTTCTTCAGCTAATAGTAAACTGCTGATGGACACATGCCATCCAGTTCAAAAGGACTCAGTCTAGAAAAGTTTTCTTGTTATAATTCGGTTTTAATATATTCTTTTGTAGATAATAATGTTATTTATTAATGAATTTATGTCCCCCAACTCAAGAATCATACTTCTTCAGCTAATGGTAAACTGCTGATGGACACATACCTTCCAGTTCAAAAGGACCCAGTCCAGGAATGTTTTCTTATTATAAGTCGGTTTTAATATATTTTTTTGATGATAATAATGTTATTTAATAACGAATTTATACCCCCCAATCCAAGAATCATACTTCTTCAGCTAATGGTAAACTGCTGATGGGCACATGCCATCCTGTTCAAAAGGACCCAGTCCAGGAAAGTTTTCTTATTATAATTCGGTGTTAATATATTATTTTGAAGATAATAATGTTATTTAATAACGAATTTATACCCCGCAATCCAAGAATCATACTTCTTCAGCTAATGATAAACTGCTGATGGACACAGACCATCCAGTTCAAAAGACCAAGTCCAATAAAGTTTTTTCGCTACAATTCGGTTTTAATAATATTCTTTTGATAGTAATGTTAGTTAATAATGAATTTATACCCCCCAATCCAAGAATCATAGTTCTTCAGTTAATACTGCTGATGGGCACATGCCATCCTGTTCAAAAGGAACCAGTCCAGGAGAGTTTTCTCGTTGTAATTCGGTTTTAGTATATTTTTTTGATGATAATAATGTTATTTAATAATGAATTTATACCCCCCAATCCAAGAATCATACTTCTTCAGCTAATGGTAAACTGCTGATGGGCACATGCCATCCTGTTCAAAAGGATCCAGTCCAGGAAAGTTTTCTTGTTATAATTCGGTTTTAATATTTTCTTTTGAAGATAATAATGTTATTTAATAACGAACTTATACCGCCAACCAAAGAATCATACTTCTTCAGCTAATGGCAAACTGCTGATGGATACATGCCATCCAATTCAAAAGGACCCAGTCCAGGAAAGTTTTCTTGTTATAATTCGGTTTTAATATATTCTTTTGAAGATAATAGTGTTATTACAACATATAAAAAATACGAACAAAACATAGACACATTCATCTTTACCGACTCGAGATGGGACATTGAAAAGTCTCCGAATTTTGATTCAAAACAAAAATAAGACAAAAATGTCGCAAAATTGTATTGGATTTGTAGCAATTTTGTCGTAAAACGTGAATGTTTCTGTCTTGTCGTTGTTTTGTCTGACTGGTCTGGACCCGGCATTAAACCTAACTTACTCTCTCGTTGTTCCTCATTATTTCCTTGTACAAAGTGGCGGGGTTTGGCCCGCCATGAGGCCCGAACCTTTTCGTGCTGCTCAGCCGTTGCAGCTTCGCCATCTGCTGTTGCAGGTCCGAAATTTCCTGCTGAGCGTTGGCCAGCTTTTCGATCATTTCCCTCATTTCCGCATCGGTGTTGCCCTCTGTCGGTCCGCACGCGCACACTCTCTCAACTAAAGATTTATTTTTGATATATCATTAAGGCGTGTTTTCCAAGTCAAGTGAATGGATCAAGTTACAGGAATTCAACTGACTTGAAAGTATAATTACGAGTTTACACATTTCATATACAGGGTGGTCCGAACTGTATTCCGGAAACTTCGGCACCATATTCTTCAGATAAAAATAAGTAAAAAAGTTCGTATAAATGTACTGTTTGACCAGCGGATCTGTAGCTACGGAAGGAATGCGAGAAAAAAAATCGATATTGCCACGTTTATCTATAAAATTGCAAAATTGCCAGACATGAACTATAAATTTAATAAATTTTATTATATATAATGTGTTTAGCATATATTCTGACGTATATTACTAAGGAATTTTAACGTAGTTCATATTGTTCGATATGTTTTATTTAATAACTTATTTCTTTCATTCTGTATAATCTGCCTATTATGAAAGTTGAAGATTTTCAACGATATCATTGGCAAACCGGCATCGCCGCGCATGGCCGCCTATTCATCGAACATGATTGGCGAGTACGTCACAGGATTTGTTACCACGCGGTTGCCATGGCTTTTACGCCTTCCATTCGCTTCGTTTTATCCCCAAGTTCACGGTCTCTTCTGAAAAGAGTAGGAATATTGAATACTATTGAAATATCCAGTGGCGGTGTCATTTTTTGATCATTATTACTTTATTTCATTATTTTATACCCGTTATCCCAAACTTTATTCCTATATTTTTAGTATATTTGATAATTAAGTTGTGTTTTATTGTTTTGTTATCTTGTTATAATGTTTTTCGTTCGTAGTTTTAATTATTAATTATCAAGTTTGATCGTATATTTGTGTTTTAAAACGAATAAATTTGTTTAGGGTAAGACGCTACATAGTCAGACAAGAGAAATAATAGCTAATTTATATAGGTAAGTTAATAATAACGTGGATGAAATCTCATTTGGTGTATTTCCTTGTGTTCATAACAGGGTTTGCGATGAAGAAGCTACAGAGAGTTCGCTTGAGTTGCCGCTTAAACGTAAACTTGAGCGGATATTTCTTTATACCGGAGTTAGCGTATCGGCTATAAAAAAATTCACACAGAAGATAAAAAAAAAGGTTGAAAACTAACCCCGATAAAATGATATCCTCTCTGGAAAGAAACGTCCACGTGAAACTGCTCAACGACTTTTTTCGAAGTGGTCAGGAATTTGATAAATAGATTTTATCTCGAATTCAAACTCGTCCCCACAATTAGAAAGCTTTTGCAAAAATTGCAGGAAGAATCGAATTTTCCTTTTGCAGGGAAACGCTTAGGGTTAATTAAAATCAAATGAATTTTTTGGCGTAAATGTTAAAATAACAGATAAATATTAATGGAGCGGCCCATTATATTGCAGAGAGAGATATAAATATATATACGCGAAATTCGAAAATATAGCCAAGTATTATCTATTTGATGTAACATATGGGTAGACAATGACCTAACCTTTAAAAACTGCTGGCGAAGCGATACCATATCTGGTGTAATAGGCAATATCAGATCTACTGATGAGTAAAATTATGTTTTGTTTGCAGGCTTCCAAAGTTAACTATTTTCAAGATTTTGTTTTGCTGGAAATAGTTATATCTAAAATTATGTATTATAGAAAAAAAATATAGTTAGTACAGATATATAAATAAATATACCCTCAAGACGTCTTGATCATCTGCTGATGGCAGACATGGTTAGCGAAACGTGCGTCCAGTGTAAAATTAAAAGTGTTTTGGTGTATTGTACTGATTTAGTGTTTATTTTGCTGTGTAACACCAAAGGTTCCAAACCCCAGCTGTAATTATTTCTTCTCTTATATTAACAACACAATAATAAAATGATTCAAAATATTTAAGGAGCTTTAATAAAAGCTTTTAGTGTTTATCTGCTAACTCAACAGTAACGATTCAAACAGCATAAAGTTTTTGAAAAAAATTATTAATCTGAGTATTATATTTATGATACACATTATTTTCATATAACACCGTACGCCCATGCCTATTTTATGAATGAAATTGGGCGTGTTTTGTTTACAACTGCGTTCCCCTGCCGATACCCCGTAGCTACAGATCCGTTGGTCACACTATATGTCCTAAAACGCTTAGTTTCGGAGATACAGGGTGGAGAAGTTTCATTTCTATTTCGATTTTTTCCTAATAATTTGTGAGCTAACGTCGATCTGTGGATGAAAATTGGTGTCTGGGTGTTTTTTGGCATGAGAAATTTGATTTTGATGTCAATATGACTCCTGCGTGTAGAGGACGCCACCTACATATTTTTTTAACTGTTTTGAAGAGTAATAACTTTTCATCCGTACCTGTATAAAACTGCTGTGTAAAAAATATACATTTACGAGGTTTTTTACGTAAAAAAGGTCTCTTGGTAAAAATCGCTACGACTAATAGTTTTCGAGATATTTGGAATCGAAATTATCAATACCTATCATCATTGACATAAATTAAACATATTGACTAAATAGTTATTAGACTGAAATCATAAATTTGAAATGTTTCTGGGCCTGGGGAAAATATATTTTCTTTGAAAAAATAAAATTTTTCCAAATTTATTAGTTCAGTCAAATACCTATCTACTAAACGTGTTTATTTTTTTTTGTCATTAACGACATTTATTGACTATTTCCATTCTAAATATCTGGAGAACGGTTGCTCGTAGCGATTTTTAACAGACATTTTTTACAAAAATAATCTATTTTTTCAAAAAATATATATTTTTTCACTCAGTAGTTTTATACAGTTACGGACGAAAAGTTATTACTCTTCAAAACCGTTAAGACACATGTTAGGTGGCGCCCCCTACAAATTGGAGTTATATTGACATCAAAATCAAATTTCTCATGTCAAAAAATTCCCAGATATAGTCTATAAAATGAATAACTTTGAATTTTGACCGTTATTTTTTACCAACATGACAAATATAAAATCCCTCTGTCAAAAAAGTTACTGATATTCTTTAAGTATTCTTTAAATTGAGTGCCTGAACGAATCAGATAGGTAACTCTTTTTACTTTCGTGAAATAGAAAAGGAAAATAATAAAACAAGTGACAGTTCTTCCTCTTCTTGCAAAAATCAACACAAAATGGCATAATTGTCAAAAGTAAAATGTCATCAGCTTTTGACATTTCTAAATATCAGACCAATGCCGTCTCTAATAGAACAGCCTCGGAGCGAGATTTATGACGTCACGCTAATTAGATACGGATTGTTGTAGTAGGATGTTGTAGAATACATGGAAAACATAATTATTCCTCGTATTTTTGGTTTGTATTTTAAAAATGATATAGTTTACATAAAATATACAGTTAATAAATATAATATATACCTATTTATAGTAATAAATACTTTGGCAAATAAACTATGAACCATACAAATGCAGCAAATGCTTTATAATATACAAATAATGAATAGGTAGGTACATAAGATAATGGGGAAAATGTAAAATATATTTTAAATTTCGAGGTTTGAAAATCGACCAAATTTAACAAAAAACATTCAATATCTACTAATAGTGATGTATTATTATTTGCATTCACAAAATTTATATGTACATATATTTTGCAAGTATCAATGTTCGAAAAATTATATTTGCAAATAATACAATATCATAGAAAAAAATGCGTCAGCGATGGCTATGAAATAAAGATCGCTGTCATTTTATAATGTAAAATTATTGTATAAAATTTTTGATTTTCTTGGGATTTAGGTACGGGAAAAACGCTGATTAAGTTTTCATTTGGGTTTTCATTATTTTTTTGGTTTAAAAAAACGTTTCGGCTAACATTATAGCCTTCATCAGTGTTGTGTCATATAAAAAAATAGTGTCGAATATAATCCAAAAAATTGCATATAAAATATTCACACCACAAACCACATAATGTTTACTGCAATTAATAAACTAATATAAACTTGTCAAAAGATGACCACATATTTTTAAAATTATTATTCTTAACACTAAAACTATCTACATTGACTATGGAGTACGATTTCAGCCATAGTCAAATATAAGGTATAATTATGTTAGCGTGACGTCATAAATCTCGCTCCGAGGCTGTTCTACTAGAGACGGCATTGCGTCAGCATGGCCGCAAGTTGCTAACCTATTAAAATTAACACTAGAAAAGCCCGCGGGAACTGTCAAATTCAAAGTTATTCGTTTCACAGACTATACCAATTTTTATCCAAATATTGAGGTTACTCAAGAAATTATTTTTTGGAAAAAATCGAAATAAAAATGAAACTTCTACACCCTGTATCTCCAAAACTACTATTTTAGGACTATTATACGGACTTTTTTACTTATTTTTATCTGGAGAATATAATGCCGAATTTTCCAGAATACCTACAGTTTGGACCATCCTGTAAGTCCTGAAAATCGACGCGTTTCTATGGCAATATAATTTCGTTTTCATTTTTTGATAGATTGATAGTGATAGAATTTTAATTAAAGCTCTATTTTTTCAAAATGTTGAAATTTGGGAAAGTATAATAGCGCTTTCACATGCGACTGACCGTCCGTCGTGTTTTTTCAAGATAGCCGTCGGACGGAGCAATAGCGCCCATGTGAAATTGTTCATATAAACTCATGGTACTTGCTCGAAGTTGCGGACGCTCCGTCGCGGACGCTCCGCTTCATCTGAAAACGCTGTAAACGGGATTAACCATTTTACTCGTAGAACAAACAAAAATTAGAAGTATCGGTTATTGGTAAAAAAAATTACGAACCTTGAACTTGGTCCTCTGGTTTTCCTTCTTTAGCCTCTACAAAAACATTATTTATACAGGGTTTTTCATCCAACTGTTTAATTAAAAGTTTTTTTGTGATGTGGATGTAAAGCTTTATTCAGAACCTCGCAATTAGTAGAATAAATTAGTGGTTTCAATTAGCGTACAAGTTTGTTCCTTTAATTTCATTGTAAGCATTCAGAACGTCAAAATTAGTGGTGGAGATTTTCAGTTAGTAGAAACAGTTACCAAACTTTTAACTTTTACACATAGACAAACAAATAAAAAGAGACTGACAAATCTCATGGTAAAGAGTGGGACCGCGGTCCCGTACTCAGAATAACAAGACTATGGCAGCACGTACGTCTTTATTGCTATCTTTCTTTATTATGTGTGCTTTATATGAAAAAGAAAGAGATAGATATAAAACGTATCGTAAGACATTATCGCACATTCTGGCTGGCGGAAAATTTAAATTAGCCATTATTAGTAATATTCTTTCATTCTGAAACTGAAAATTTTCACTTAAACTGATTTATTCCCTATACCACGTAAAAGGAACGTGGTGTGGGGAATAAATCAGTGTAAGTGAAAATTTGCAGTTTCTTTCAGAACGAAAGAATACTACTATTATAAGGGAAATTATAAAAAAAGCAAAAATTGTACTGTTTTATTAACATATTTATTTATACATAAAAATAAATAAACTTTTTATAATATAATAAAAAAAAATAACAGTGTTTATTCCACCCACCTACCAATTTTAAATGCAGAAGAACTGACTGTTGCAGGAAACGATCGGCCAATTTTTTTAAAGAGCATTAAAAATCTCATTTTCGAAAAAACTGCCTAATTGCGATAACAAAGAGAATATCCAAGCAAAGAAGACTTTACGAGAATCATGATCCTAAACCATTTTCAAGTTCAGTTTTAATCCTAAAACAAAAGTAAAATAGGTATATTAATAAAGTTTCTGGTTACTATAAACTAGCTATAAACTACCTACCCAAAAAATTAAAAAAATTAATTGTATTAATTTGTTATGTTAAGAGAGGTTTGAAATATTTTTGACACTACTACTTTTACTTTTTTCTTAATAAGATAATAAATATAATTACTTACTTTTATTTTACCGGGTGTCTTTAACATATCTATCAGAGAAAGGGAGCACCAATACATATAAAAAATAGATGATACTGGCTCCTGCAGCAAATAAAATAACAAATGGTGTAACCTAAAATTATAAGTAACAAAATATAAATACCTATATGGAACAAAGGAATTTGTTCCCTATCCATATTCATAAGTCAATAAAATGGAGAGTTTAGAAAAAAAGGTAAATCACCAAAAGAAAAATTAACAAACATGACGACATAGATAAATGAAACAAGTTTAGATTGGAAAGTGCCCATAAGGACAATGTAAACACTATTTGGCGCTATTCTTGCAACGGTCGCGACCCAAAACTTTTGAAAATTTCGGAGCGGTTCGGCTTTTTCCGGAATTATATCGCCAAATATTGTTTATTCAAATTTATTATTATTTTCGTTTAATTCTTTGAATAAGAAGACTAAGGAAGGAGCATATCAAAAATCTTAGGTACACCGCGATGGGCCTCAAATATGGCCGACTTAAATTCCGGTTTATCAGTGTCGTTCTAATTTTATTTAAAAAATGTAAAACTATGATGTAGGGTAGACGTGGGGTAGACTCAATAATTTGTTGTTTTATTTTACGTTAGTGAATAAATGTTGGTATTTATTAAAATTGTTATAAAAATATATAATTCTAATAAAAAATAGATAAGTTATAATAAGTATTTATTAACACAAACATCCGATACGCTACTGAAGCAGCTAAGTCAAATTAACGTATCTAAATTCCTTTGACATCTAATCTTTGACAAGTAATAAATAAAAGCTAAAATGCAAGAAAAATATATAATTTAGTTAATTTAAGTGAATTTCATAAATGATCGGTTTACTACACGTATGTCTATTATATAGTCACTTACTAGCGAAAAGTTGTTCCATTATTTCACTCAATTTTTGCCGAGATCTACCGCACGCTACACGACCAACTATTTTAGTCTTTTCGATAAATCGCGATAGTGTCACTGTTAATTTAAGTTCTGCCACAATTTCCATCTAGATTTACTACCTTTTATACAACTATCAGTAGTAGAATAAATAATAAATAACATAAAATCAGCTCCGTAAAGACTGACAAATCCACAAAATTTCAAATCAAATTCAAATGTGTCAAATGAATCGTCAAACAGAACTGTCAAGGATCCCCACCCTAGAGAGCTTTTATGGTGGCTTTTCCGCCCACCGTGCATGAATACATGGATAGCATTATGCTCCTTCCTTAGTCTTCTTATTCAAAGGTTTAATTTTATAAATAAAATATAGGGTGTTGCATACAAGAAACTTTATTTTATATAAGGACGCATGTATGAAATACCTAGGAAACATTGGAAACCGACGTTATGCCACGATCCACGATGGTTTTTGCAGTTCACAGTTCACAGCACAGCTTTTTAAGTTTTTAATGCCACTTTTTCACAATTATCACCGGCTGGAGTAAATAAAACTTGAATTAAACTCACAAGATAGCAATAATTACTTTGAAAATGGACGTTATAAACACTTTTCGGAATTTCTTTAATGAGGGCGGTTTAGATTTTGAAAGATTATTATGATTTTTGAAGATTCTGACTTTGACAAGAGAAAATTATTTCTGTTTTTGTTTGCCGTTGTTCTTAGCGACCGCTATAGCAGCGCCAGATCGCGTATAACGGTCGCGACCCAAAATAATTTCGCGATCCAAAATTTTTACGGGCTTTCCAATCTAAACTTGTTGCATTTATCTATGCATGACGAATTGTCATGATGTTGTCATCTTGGTTGTCATGATGACGAAAACGAAAGTCGATTGTTCTAATTTCTATTTAGAAATTACGTTTTATATGGCCGCTTCTTTCTCTCTTGTTATATTAGAATGAGATAGTGGGCCCAATAGAGGCAATGCGCAGATCAACATAAATAGAACGAAATTTTGCGTCCTGAGTTGCGCTACGGGAACGTTGTCCCTCTCTTTACCATTTAATTTGCCAGTCTCTTTTTATTTGTTTGTCTATGTTTTTACACTAATTATACTTCAAAATTTGCGAGAAATGTCATTTTGGCCTTTGATTATCTTCCGTCAAGAGAAATTATTGTGGTTAGCAATCAAAAGCTGATTATTTTATAAGCTAAATACTTTAAATATTAGGCTTTCTCTATGGATACAACTGACTACGCAAGCTGTTGCTACGATATTCTATTAATTTCAATTGTGTGTTTTATAGGCATTGGGAATGATCGTAAACTAGACAGTATAAAATGTAATTGAAACCACTAATTGCAAAGCAAAATTGCATTCTGAGTGAAGCTTTAGAGTGAAGGATATTTCCAGGTATTCTTTCTTTCTAAAATATTTTCCATTTTTTCAGGCATTTCCGATTTCCCTTCAGAATACCGCGTTAATCATTATCTAATATCTTGGACTACTAAAAATATTGTTATTCTGTGACTAACAATGGCTGATATAATGATTTTGAAAAAACTTTCTAGCAAATTAAAAAATATTTAAGAAAGAATGAACGTCTGTAATTGACAATAAATTAAAATATTCACAATTTTGTATCATAATTTACATTCTAAAAAGCTTTTAAGAAACTAATTGCGTGAAACACCCTCTATATTGATTAAACAATCATTATACACTGAGTAAAAAATAGCGTACCGCACGTCAGTGGGTGATTCTACCTATAAATACAGGGTGTCCCAGAAACAGGTGCAGATATTTTAAATTTGCAACACTGCAAAGTTTAGATACACCGTAGAGAAATCTCAAGTAACACTAAAAAGTTTTTTAAAATTTTCCGGAAAATGTCAAGAAAAATTTAAAATTTTCAATAATTTTTCTTCACAAAAAAAACCCATAGGCTTGTTTCTGGGATCGAAATATACCAGTTAAAATATCAGCACTTATTTCTGAGACATCCTGTATAAAAGAAAAAGTTCCTATTAACATACAGGGTGAGTTTCCTACAATGTTCTCTATGGGTATCTCGGAAACTATTGGAGATAGAAAGTCGGTTAAATTGGGAAAGAATTGCAGTTTTGTGGGGTCATAAACATGCGCTTTTCAGATTTTTGAAAAAGTTCATGGGTTACTAGATATTTCGAAAAAAACAAATTTCGGCTATTTCAAAAATTGTCCCTAATTCCATTATAAAAGGTTTCAGATAAAAGTTGTAGATAATAATATCCTGAATGAGACTGTGTTTTCCGTTTTTTTCTAAAGCCTGTCATTTTTGACATATGACACAAACATGTGTTTTTTTAAATGGAAGCCATAGTTGGCCATGACTTCATAAAAAGCGCCATTTTTTAAGCTTTTCACAGATATACACAATAACATGTTTTGTTTTTTAAATTACCGAGTTATGGCCAATTTTTGTCTTTTTTGACTTATTTCACTTAGTTGGCATGGTATTCTTACTCTATTATTAATTATAACATGTAAAAAGACAGAATATTTCATTAAAAGGTTCTTTAAAATATACATTAAACAAATTAAACTAATACTAATATCTAAAAAACTACATACACTTTAAGTTATTTACAGTTACACCTCTTCCTATCCATGAATTCGCAAAATTATTATCTAAATAATTTTTTACATGTCTTTCATTATGTGGGGGAGCTCCGTCATGTTGGAACCACTTTATTGATGCGCGGGTCTCCAAATTTAAATTCTCTAAGATGTCTTGTAAACCGTTCTCTAAAAAACTTTAGTAACGTTCACCTGTCAATGTATCTTCGAAAATGTATGGCCCAAGAACAGTTGATCCAATAATTCAACACCAAACATTAAAACCAAATTTAATTTGTGGTCTTCTCTGCTCTAAATTACGGGGATTTTATTGGGCCCAGATATGCTCGTTATGTCTGTTAAATAATCCACAATTAGTAAACCTTGTCTCATCTGTCCAAAGCACTTTAAATTTAAAGTCGGGGTCTTCTATACACATATTTCTAAACCACGTGCAGAACTGGTTGAGCTTATTGTTAAAGTTTTAACTACGATCCTCTGAGAAGTTCCCGCTTAACTGCAGCTTGGCGGGTTGATATTGAGGGATTTTGATCGACACACGCTAGTACATTTATCTGAGCAGCTTCATTTATCTCGAGATTTTTGTCTTTTGGACGCGCGAACATACCGAATTCTTCCAGGTTATTATAAATTCAGTTCTGATAACAACGACAATTGAACTTTTTTCCATGGCTAACTACGTGAAATTAGGCAAAAAATATAAAAATTGGCTATAACTCAGTAATTCAAAAAAAGAAAACATGTTATTGTTTATATCTCTGAAAAGCTTAAAAAATGGCGCTTTTTATGAAGGCATGGCCAACTATGGTTTCCATTTTAAAAAACATATGTTTGTGTCATATGTCAAAAATGACAGGCTTTAGAAAAAAACGGAAAACACAGTCTCATTAAGGATGTGATTATCTACAACTTTTATCTGAAACCTTTTTGTCTAAAATAGATTATAATGGAATTAGGGACAATTTTTGAAATAGCCGAAATTTGTTTTTTTTTCGAAATATCTAGTAACCCATGAACTTTTTCAAAGATCTGAAAGGCGCATGTTTATGACCTCACAAAACTGCAATTCTTTTCCCATTTAACCGACTTTCTATCTCCAATAGTTTCCGAGATACCCATAGAGAACATCGTCGGAAACTCACCCTGTATACGCTAAGATGCTTCCCGAGGAAATTATAGCCCTTGAAAGGATAGATAAAAATAATATATTCTGTCATTTTCTAAAAACATTCGTAACCGTTTTTCTTGTAAAATGTGGTATTCTTACACACATTTTAATGCCAAAGTGAATAGTGTAATACTCTGTTTTTTTTTCTCAGGAAGATTTCGACAGACAATGGCAGAAGAAAAGCAGATGACGTCCCATACCAATCTATTTATTTTACTAAAAAAAGTTTCTAATATTTTTTAAGTTTACATAGGATGGGTTCAAATATAAATCCGTCATGCGTCGTCTCCTGTTGTCTTTAACCAGTTTTATTGGTTTATTTCTATGATAGATCATATTTCAATTTTGTTGGTTTGACGGAACGATGAACGACAAACGGACGCCGATGCGTATGAACTCGCCTTTAGATTTTTGAGGCTTGTCAAAGTGTTGCCAAATTATGGGTTATAATTTTGTGTCAACTTATGTCAAATATCTGCGTTTTGGAAGATGATGCGTTTTGATTCGTGTTATTACGTGTATTTTGTGTCTTTTGAAGTCAAATGGAGGAAAAATCGAGGGAAAATTAACTGTAGACCCAGAGCACAGTTTATAGTTAATACTCGCTGCCCAGGTAGAAAGTCTTATACACCAATACAGTTATCATCAATAAAGTTTATATACCATATCGTCAAAGATAAGTGCATCTCGTATATGGTACAAGGATCGTACTAAACATATACTAAAAACTGGAGTAGCTGTAAAATATCGACATCACACGATAGGTAAATAATGTATTTTAGTACTGCAGGAAAATAATGTCAAAAGGTACTGGTTTAAAAAAATTAAGATTAAAGTTAATTAATCAACCTTAAGGTATAAAATCTGGTAATGATCTGGTAAAATCTGGTTATGTTGTTTTATTTATTCCTGTGGAATATTACACATTTGTGTAATATTGTACATAAGTTATATTGATAAATGCGGGAAGTTTCTTGGAGCTTGAAAGTAAGAAATAGTTCTTTTTATATTTTTCGGTATGTGGTGTTTTGTTCTTGTTTGTTTTATATTAACACAAACCATTTTTTTAAATAAAATAACTGGATTACATTCTTTCAGTAATCACTTGTCAGTCAAATTTTAAATATATTAATTTCCTGCTATGCGTACCAATTGTACCAACTTATTTCTTTGTAAAATAAAATAAACTACTTTGAAATTAAAATGACAGACACATCAATCACTGTCAATGATCTTGTTGTTGGACAGACTATACTTTCTATGACTAAACTCTTTCAAGGTCTGTAACTCCCTCATGTAACATCTTATGGCGCATGTTCATAGTAACTTTTTCGTTTATTTTTATCCATTGTATCACCCACTAGTCTAGCAAATTATTTTTCACACCCTGTATATAATAATTGTTTTCAACGATTAAGGAACTACTTAAATACCTTGCTCTTCCAGCCTTTTGGCTCTTATAGTGGCACAAACACAACTTTTAGTATCGCCCCCTGGCTTTGTAGTAGCACTAGGCTCCCTACCAGGCTGTGCTCCCGCTTTTGCTGTACCACTGTGAACTCTTCCAGGACCGGTACCACTAGCACCCCTACTAGGCGGTCCCACGGGTTGCAGGGGTACCACAATATTACTACTGTGTCCCTTACTAGACGGGGTACTACTTGGTTGGGTACTATCCGGACCAGCTTCCTCACTCGGTTCCGTCGGTTGTGGCTCTGGCACTAGAGACGAAAGTATACGAATTAAATTATTATATTATGTTCTTGAATCCGGATATCTATACAGGGTGCTACAAATTCGAGGTACGAGCATTGGTATCTCGGAAACCGTAATAGATACGAAGATGGTTAAATTGGGACAAAGTTGCAAAAATCAAAAAACTAATTACACATTCTCATAGCCACTTTATTAGGGCTATCTCATAGTACTTTAAGATTTTCAAATTAGCTGATAATTTGTGAGATACAGAGGTCAACTTAACTTTTTTAAATATGGACCTGCATTTTTTATTTCGGATTTTGAAAGAACTCGGTCTCGTGAGTACAATGATATGCCACACTTTATACTTTTTTTTTGTTTTGGGTACCTTAACAACAACAAAAATATTTATTTATTATTTTAAAAAATTTTAAGTACGACTCTGGTTTTTTAAATCATTTAATCTGATTATATTCATCGTAACAATATTGATTAGAGCTATTTAACATTGAATAAGGAAAATCGAGCGAATTGAAAGATTCAAATCAATAATATCCAAGTCAGCAATTTAAGTATTATTTTTAACATTTTTTATTGTGAATTTGAAATCTCAGTGTACGATCTAATAATATTCATAATACACACCCCGGAAAAGTCTAGGGATATTACAACTAGGGATATTACAATTTTATCCAGCCATCGTCAGTAATTTTATTATTTGCATTTCTGATATAATAAAATTAAAATAAACAAATAGTTTACAATACGTATTGGAAATAAAAAGCGAAATTTACCGAATTTTTCAAATTTACCTTGATTTTTATTGAACTCAAAAAAATACTGTGAATTAAAAAAAAGATAAAACCATTTTTACTTAATAAAGGGTATGGCCTCCTCTACTGTTCATTACAGCCCTACATCGTCTCTCCATGCTCCTGATCAGGTTGTCGATCTTGAGGTACAGCCTGCCACGCTGCATTCACGGCCCGAACCAGATCCCTACGAGTTTCACGAGGCATACCCATTCTGAAAATTCTTCTTTGGACCGCGTCCCATACGTGCTCGATGGGGTTGAGGTCAGGAGATTGTGCCGGCCAGGGTAAGATGTTTAATTGATGAGCATTGTTAAACTCACTTACCACTCTGGTTGTATGAGGCCGTACATTGTCATGCATGAGAATGAAGTTTCTCCCAAAATCCTTGGCATATGGTAACACGACAGGCTCAAGAATTAAATCACGATATGTGATTCCTGTTAGAAACCTTTCTAGAAAAACGAGATCGGTTTTTTGGCCTAACTGGACTCCTCCCCGGACCATAACTGTTCCACCTTGATAAGGGTGCACTTCCTGAACATGATCCAACCGAATAAGATTTCCCGGTTCTCTCTATACCCTAAGCCTTCTCGAATCCGGATGAATTCCAAAGTGTGACTCATCCGTGAAGAAAACATTGGCCCATTGTTCATTCGACCACTGAACATGATCTTGAGCCCACAAATATCGTACCTCTCGATTTCCTCTCGTTAAGGGTTGAGCTCTCCAGGGGCGTCTGCTTCTTAAGTTGACCTCTCTTAATCTATTGCGAACAGTGTCAGGACTAATGGTTACATTATGTCTTTCCTCGAGAATTAAACTAAGCTCTGGTGCTGTAAGAGCCGTCGGCGTCGAGCATTTAATTGTAAAAAATGATCTTGGTGAGGGGTAGTAATGCGATGTCGCCTTGTGCGCCTTTCAGCAACATCACCACTTTCACGGTAGCGTGCACTTAATCGCGATATTACACTTTGCTTTGTATTTAATGCTCTAGCTACGTCGATTTGGCGCATTCCAGCTTCAAGCATACCCATGGCCCTTAGCATTTCGTCTCTGTTAAGATGTCTACGCTCCATAATGTCGTTTAATACTAAACAGAGTTATTTGAATGAATTCTGGCCAGTTATCATAAAAACCTAGCCAGTACAGGGTAAATTCTAACAATTGATGCTAGGTGCTTTTTATACATTTGACAAAAAATGCACCAAACACTTCTGCAAATATCCCAAATTTAGAAATAACTAGTGCGACTACTTCGTTTCAATCGAAGTAGAAAGAATCGGCCTACAAATATGTGGTTGTTTATTCAAAACATTTATTTTTAACTTTAATAAAATGATATCCCTAGATTTTTCTGGTGTGTGTATTAATCGGAGTTATTATACATAAATCAACTTCTACAAACTAGTTTCTAATGATCTACATATTCGAAAGGGTTACCACCCTCCCTAATGCACAAATTTATTTATTTTATTTTTCTATCTTATTTATAGCTCTTTGAACATAACTTCTTGTTATAGTTCCGAATGCATTTTGTAGTCTTTATTGTAAATGTTGAAATGTATTGATTTACCTTTTATTAATGACGCCCTTTTAGTTATTGCATTTCATTTTCCGTATTCAATGTTTTACCCCACATCATTGTTAAGTTTGAAAGTTTATCAATATTGTAACGATGAATAGATTAAATCTTAAAAAAAAACAGAGCCGGACTTGAAATTAGTTTAAATAAATTACGTTCAAATGTCCGAAACAAAAAAAAAGATAAAAAATAAAATAAAATAATAAAATATATTAAGTGTGGCATAGCATTGTACTCAGGAGGCCGAGTTCTTTCAAAATCTGAAATAAAAAATGCAGGTCCGTATTTAAAAAAATTACGTTGGCCTCTGTATCTTACAAATTATCAGCTTATTTAAAAATCTAAAAATACTTCCAGATAAGCCTAATAAAGTGGCAATGAGAATGTGCAATTAGTTTTTTAATTTCCTAAAAAGTAACGCCAGGAAAAAATAAAATTGATTTTAAAAAAAATCCGGATAAGCAAAATAAAGACAATGGAAGGCCGAATTTCTTTTAGTTTTAATTTTAAATGGTTCCTTACTTGATTGTTCTGCTGGAGTTGCTTCAGAGGCACTACCTTCTTTGCTTGGAGGCTTTCCCGCCTCCGCATCTATTTCTTCGTTACCCTGTTCTACATTAGGAGCTTCTGCATGTGCTTCTTTGACCTGTTGTTGTTCTGAAGCTTCCAGTTCTTCCGGTATGATATCTTTCTCTAAAAGCCGTTGAAAATAGATTATATCGGATGTTTCTCAAAATTGACTCCCCCCTATAACTTTCTTATTTTTTCAGGTAACAAAACGAGATTCGGTATGTTAGTACATGACATAAATTAGGATTGATTGACATATTCAATTATTATCGTTCGGTTCCTGTTTCACCGGAAAGCACTACAACTTTTGATTTTTAAATGGAACCCTTGGTATTTATTTTAGCACCCTTGGTATTTCAGTCTGAATAGAATGAAATATCATATGTCAAATTTTGAAATTTTTGTTTTAAAAAAATCGTAATTTAAATTTCTACCTAGAGTGCTGTGGTTGCGTTAAAACCATTAATTTTTAATCAAGGAGCATGCTTATTGGGAAAATAGATTTGATCGTCTAATATTATTCATGTCTTTTCCGGTTAATGAATGCCATTTTCTATCAAATAATGCAAAAATCACCAAGGGGAAATAAGAATATAAAGATTATTTAAAAAATGGCGATTTTTACAAATCTAAGATTTGTCCGCATTCATGGGACCCAGGACACAGAGTAGCTTTTAACAACGCGATTTTAACAACAAAATTATAATGAAAGAAGCTTAAAGAAAGAGATAGCCCCTAAAAGAAAAATGAAAAAGGCATTTTTAATACAATCTAATAAAAATAAATGTATTGCTCATGCATCTGTAGATGTTAGTGATGTATGGCAATCGCTTCTTTGATTTTAAAGAACACAACATAAATAAACATAACATACGTAAAAATTAAAAACAAATTAAAAGATAATCGTACAGGAAGTTTGAAGCTTTTTATCAGGTAGTAATTGTTAATTTTAAAGTTTTAATTGATATAATGTCATTTTCATAGAACGTCAACGGTTTTTGTAGACGTATCTGTTTAAAAAAAACTAAAGTGTTCTCGAATAGTTGCTGCATATTAGATGTTTTAAATATTTTTTTTCTTGGTTCTTTTTGTTTTTTTTTGCTTCCGACGCGACGACGGGAAGAGATATACTTCTCGAAACGTTAAGCATTTTTTGTCCGTTATACAAATTTGTTTATTAGTAAACCACTGCTGACAATTAGTCTCCGTTAGATTAACGCAACAGTGTCACAAATTACCTATAACAGATGCGAAAGAACACCGAATTACGCGTTCAGGTTTCTGTGACCTTCAGAAAGAGTTCATAGACAATCCGCATCAATGTATAGTTTGGGTTATTATTTATTTGGGTGAAAATAATCTGCACCAATATGTTATCGAGGCATATAATCTCACAGTAATTTAATAGATTGCTCGTCATATTATATCAGTTCGTAAGAGATTAGGAAAAAAAAGATATTTATAGTATAAAAAATTAATTTTTTTAACAAAATTTAATTAAAGATGTGACAAAATAGTTACTTTTTTATTGGTTCTATCGGACTTTTTTGACTATATAAATCTTTATTTGTAAACTTTAATGCATAAAATATGTATTTTCAATCTAATAAATAATTTAATGATGTAAATAAGAGGAAATTTCTCACATGGGTGGTAAAATTCTATAGTTTTCATTATATCAAACAGCCTCTGAATGTTTTATTCAGTGCGAAACTCGTCAAAATTTAATATAAATAATTTTTCCATCCTGTAAATAGAATGAACAAATTTTTCCACTTTCATGATCAAAGGCTTTTAAATGAGTAAATAATTTCGAGTTATCCAGAGATTCGGATTCTTTTGCAAATTTTAGACAAATATCACATTCATGTATTTGAAGACCCTTTTTAATGATGTAGTCAAACATAATTAAAGGCATTTTGAGTTGAAAACATTTCTCAGAGGCTGTTTGCTATAATGAAAACTATAAAATTTAACCACCCATGTGAGAAATTTCCTCTTATTTACATCATTAAATGATTTATTAGATTGAAAATATTTGATGTATTAAAGTTTACAAATAAAGATTTATATAGTCGAAAAAAGTCCGATAGAACCAATAGAAAGGTAACTATTTTGTCACATTTTTAATTAAATTTTGTTAAATAAATTAATTTTTTATACTATAAATATCTTTTTTTTCCTTATAAATAAACATATTTGCATTCCATTCTAAATAAGATATACAAATTAGCAAAACTTAGAAATAACAGTTCAAAAGTTCAACAAAAATCCTACACGCGTTTTTAAAAAGAAACATATAACCACGCACTATGGCACTCCGGCAAGCGAAGACGACACGACATGGGTTTCCGGACTAAACGACTGGTGTATTTACACCACTCAATAGGCGTGTCGGGTTTGCCAAACGGTTTCCGATGCAGTCGCTTTCTTTCGCATCTGTTATAGGTAATTTGTGACAGTGTTTACAAGAAATAATTATTTTATTTTCTAGATTTTCTTACAGTGGCGAAATACCCATAAAACTTTTTTGGAGCCAATCCTCATTTATGTCATACACGAACATGCAAAGTCGCATTTTTTTATCTGAAAGAATAAAAAAATTATAGGAGTGAGCTACTTTTTAAAAAGACCCGGTATTATTAGCTACAAGATTTTTTTTAATTAAAAAATCTTAAATTTTATTAAAAAAAATTTAGATGAGTTGGCAATTATTGATATATCGAAATATTTCCATAAAAAATAGAAATATTACTCTTTTGTACCTGGTGCCACAATTTGTTTGTTTGAAGGTGTATCTCCAGTTTCATCGGTGTCGGAGGGTATGATAAATAAGACCTTAGATCCGCCCTTTTTGCTGGCATCACTTAGATCATCTCTGCCTGCTGGACATACTCCGCACTTGGGCTTGGTTCGAGCTGATTTACACACTTCACATGCCTCCTCGCACCTGAGCAAGTTTTTTTATTTGCGAATTACACAAATAGAAATTTCAGAAAAGTCTTTTTTTGATTTAAATCTTAATCGGACTTAAGTCACTTGATTTTAAGTCATTTTTCGAAAGCTGACTTTAGACTTAAAATCGTCTTTGATAGACAATTAAATTGTGCATCTGATTCACGTAAAATATACAGGGTGTTCCGTAGAAAAGAGCTTTGCAAAATCTATCAGAAAAAGTCAAAATATATAGGGTGTACCATTTAAAAATTTTTAGATTTTTTAATTTTAAGTAGTTGAAATTTAGAAATATATTTTGAACACCCTGTAGCATTTAACTAAAATATCATAACATATATCTTCTTTTTAATCTCTATAGAACTCTCATACCAAATTTTGGTATTCCAACTTCAGAAACAATGGTACCACTGACAATTTTTTGCCACACTGCAATTTAACATTTGTATAAACAAATTGAAATATTACAAAAACTATTAATTTTAGGTATAAAACGTTATATATAAAAAAAGTTATAGAATTTTACGCAGAATCTAAAAATGAAATAAAAAATAGGGTGTTGCCTTTAAAAAAACATATGTTATATCCGCCACACTTTTTTGAAGCACCCTGTATACTCTATAATAATTTTAAAATGTGTATCTTAATCTTCCCTATAACTTTTATATTTAACATTTTTTTGTAAATCTCGAAACAAATGAGATAATGGACTTTAGTCTATCGTTGACTCACCCTGTACATATCTTATCCCTATTATCTATATTATGATCCATTAACAATATGCAGTAGACACATACCACTGCAAGCTACTATCCAAAGTGCTGTTTCACATGGAGCGGAGAATTTTGAATAAAAAAGCGTGGTACAAAAATCTTGATATTTTAATGAAATATTTTGATCAATTTAAAATTTCTTGTTTGAAAAATAAATCGAGTGAACTGTCTCATATCACCTTTACTTTGAAATCAAAATTTCCATAAAGCTTTCTGGTTAAAATTACAATAAAAAATAAAGTAAAATATTAAAATAAATAAATAGCAAAAGTAAAATAGGATACTAACTCAGACTCCTGTGGTAGAGCTTTCCCCGCGTTCATACTAATCGTTATAGTGTTCATGAGGTTGGTGGATGCTCTGATGAACGTGACCATAGTCTCCATCATGTTGTTCCATGCTTGGATCTCTTCAGGCGTTCCATAGGGTGGTGTTATGCCATCCATTTCAGATGCATGTAGCTTGTGTACTGGAAAATTTGATACTTTGCCTGACAAATCGTTTTTATTTGGTTATTTACCGGAATATTTCAAGATTTTGACACATTTTAATGAGTTTGTCACAAATGTCACGCAGACGTAACGTGCTCTAGGTGTGATCTATGCGTCTGGTGTTATATATTTGGTGATAACTAATTACAGAATATGACATTTCTGGGAAAGAGATTAGGTGTTATGCCACTGAAGATATTTCTTTTTGTATATACATGTATAAACTTTAATTCGTATACTCAGTTTATTATAAACTTTAGTATTGGAACTTTTATACAGGGTTAATCGAAGAGTTTTTCTATCTTTAAAACACCCTGTGCACCATGTGCAATAATTTCAAGAGCAAATTTTCTTAAAACATTATTTTTCGGTCAGAACCAGGTCTTCTGAATATTTTATTTTTTTATTCATGTCAACACATGCCTTGGTTAATTTTTAAGAGCAAAATGAACTTGCCACAAACATTTTGCAATTTTTGTTATTATTCATAAGAACGAGGTGGCTTTGGTGATTATTGTTGTGTACGATTGAATAATATGGTTCTTAGTGTCGAAGATTGTGAAAAAGTCATTGATCTTGTTGAAAATGGCCGAAATTATGAATATATGCTTGGTCCTTGAAGAAGAATGGGAAAACATAACATAATATATTTGCAGCCTCATTAACAGTTGTTGAAAATGGCCGAAATTATGAATATATGCTTGGTCCTTGAAGAAGAATGGGAAAACATAACATAATATATTTGCAGCCTCATTAACAGTTGTTGAAAATGGCCGAAATTATGAATATTCGCTTGGTCCTTGAAGAAGAATGGGAAAACAAAACACAATATATTTGCAGTCTGATTAACAGTATGAACCTACGTCTTCAGACAGTTACAGCACACAGTTTTTTGTCTGTTTTTACACTTAATTATTACAGTTATTTTTGCAATGTCCTTAGTTCTGTTATAGTGTTACTAATACCGTATGATCGAAAAAAAACGGCGTCCAGATTGCTTGGAAATGAACATCAATGAATATTCCCCACATAATTTTACATATAAAATGACAGCGATCTTCATTTCATAGCCATCGCTGACGCCGTTTTTATTCGATCATACGGTATTTATTAAAACCAAGCCTGTATCGTTATTTTTTAATATTAGACTTAGTTCTGATTGAAAAATAATGTTTTGGGAAAAGTTACTGACGAAATTATATGCGCAGGGTGTTTTAAAGTTAAGGTAAAAAACAACCCTTCAATTAAGTACAAAATACTTACTAATCTTACTAATAATAAATAACATCAATTTGGATTTCTAAGCAACAAGTCCACAAACGCTATGTTTTCCCTCCTTAATAAAGTTTACTCCAGCCTAAATAACCATTATTCTACAGCAACAATTTTCTGTGATTTTTCTAAGGCGTTCGACTGTGTAAATCATAAGATCCTAATTAATAAACTGCTGCACTATGGGTTCAGGGGAACATCTCTCGAATGGTTTAAGTCGTATCTGAGCAACAGAAGTCAACTTGTGAGGGTGGATACCACGTTGTCTTCTAGCAAGCCAATAGAATGTGGAGTACCACAAGGCTCAGTACTAGGCCCTATTTTGTTTCTTCTTTTTATTAACGACATTGCTAACATAAACATTAGTAGCAAAATATGTCTTTTTGCGGACGACACTAGCTTCACCTGGAGCAACAAGGACGTCACGGCATTTCATAGGATTATGTCAAATGACTTAATCATTAAATCTTGGTGCGATTCGAACCTCCTCAAGGGAACCTCCTCATTCGAGTCTCAACATTTCTTGTCGTATGTCGTATAAAAACTCGCTGTAGCCTTTTGTGCTTAATAACACCACCATTGACGTCGTAAAATCTGTAAATTTCTTAGGGCTTGTTGTAAACAATTCTTTGAAATGGGACATGCATATCGAAGCTTTGTCGAAAAAATTGAGCTCTGCATGTTTTGCATTAAGATCTGTTTCTAAGGAGCTTAACTTGTTAGTGGCTAGAATTGTTTATTATGCACTTTTTGAGTCGCACCTCAGGTATACCCTTCCATTCTGGGGTACGTGTTGTGCGACTCAATTTGACCGCATTTTCAAGCTCCAGAAAAGAGCTGTTCGATATTCACTGGGACTAAACAGCAGAATTCATTGCCAAGACTTTTTAAAAAATTAAAAATATTAACCCTTCTTTCCTTATTTATATTTGAATCCGTTTGCCTAATACGCTTACAAGACCCTGTTAGTAGAGCCAGTTTTGACTGTCTTTCTGTCATTGTTTTTCAGGACTGTCATAAATTTTGACACATTTTCTATTATGAACTTTTTTGCCTTTCTCTTTCCCGTGAATTTCATCACAGTTCTAGAGATTTGTTGACCACGCACTGTTTTGTGGCTATTCTTGTGACTACTAAACAGCCAGAACTCATTGCCAGGACTTGTTTAAAAAAATTAAAAATATTAACTCTTCCTTCCTTATTTATATTTGAATCCGTTTGCCTAATACGTAAGCATGTATCAGCTTCTCAAGAAAGGCCATCTCACACTTATCCACTCAGGAACGCGAAGCACAAGATCTTTATCTACCTACCCTACGCTCAGAGTTAGTTAAAAGTTCAATATTATACAACTCGATAAAAATGCACAATCACCTGCCATATGAAATCAAATCCATAACATCATTTTCTTCATTTCGCAAAGCATTGAACTCTTATTTACTAGACAAGGCTTTCTACGCTGTAAATGAATTATATTTTGATAATCGAATTTGATCTTGTAAACACTGGTCTAATGTTTGCTATTGCTATATTTACCAACGACACCAAAATAAATTTATTTAGAGGTCATTGATATATACTATAAACTAACTAAATATTTTTGAATATTATTTTTATTTTTTTTATTCTTTGACATTGTAAATATTTCTAAATGTTTATTTTAAACAATAAGACTGACAATATTATTTGTATAATGTTTTGTATTATCTTTTGTTTGTTTGTTTGTTTACTTTACCTTTGTCTACAAATTGTAGAATTTTTTGACAATAGAGGCATTTATTTATTTGTTTTTTTTGCCCCTTTTGCCGCTTCTTGTATTTTGTTTATTTATTTATTTATTTATTTAACCCTGTGTATTCAGCCAAATGCTAAAGTTTATAAAAAACTGAGTTTATCAATTAAAGTTGATAGATTTATATACAGTTTGTTAAAAAATTCATGAAAATAGTGCTAAAAGTAAAAAAATATAACACTTTAAATTTGAAAAAATTCCCCGTTGCGTTTTTCTTGAATCTGAGTGTATTTGATGCTCTTGATAAGTTACTAGATGAATTGGTATATCTGGTCTTGGTAGTGTGGGAGAGCGATCACTTTGACTGTGAGCTACTTGACAACCATTTTGTATTTTCTTCAAAACTACATTTTTAGAGTAAAATTTAAACAAGCTCATGCCAAAGTTAAACTCTCTTCTTTTACTAACAAACTATACTTACTTAGAGATTTAAAAAAATAATACAACATACTTCATGATTGCACGTTTATTTATTTTTTCTACACTTCTAACTCACAATAATATAGATTTATATACAATAATAGCTTTAAGTGCACGGGTGCCACTTACATAAATAATATAAATTATACTCATGACCTATAAGTTTGCGCAGCTCCTTCAAAACCCTCAAAAAAGAAACTTAAAACACAAAACCTTCGTGTTACTTGCATTATTAACTCAAAACAAAAAAAGATGCATTGATTCATGAGGAACGGGGTTTATATCAGACTAAAAAAACGCAAACCGTTGAGCCATTTGTCTTTTAAACAATAAAAAAGGGTACTTAGACACGACATCATCACATAAAGGGTGCAAATATCTCGCACACGAATTCAAACAACCTTAACACTAAGTAATACTTAAATAATACTAATACTACGATCTTTTTTACATAAATTAACTAAAAAATTGATATATTACATCGAAGAAAAAAACACTATAAATAAAACAAAACTAGAAAATAGATTTTTTTCTCTTTACAACAACACAACCTAACTAGATCGAGCAACAAGGGAGAGAGTTGATTTAACTCAGACTGGGAGCCTTCATTTTGTTGATAGCGTTGGACAGATGGAGCACCTCGGTGTTGAGTTGGTGCACCAAACTCTCCATTTTTTCAACGGTGTCCAGAACTTCGACGCGTTGAGTGTGAGGGTTGAACCTGACTTCGAAGGGTCGGGACATGGCGCTGACCCATCTGCGGAATTTGTCCTTCATGTCTTCGATGCTCTCGGCTACGTAGTAGATCGGTTGGTACTCTTGGTCTTGGTAGGGTTGGACAGCTGTGGATGCGGGTTCGAAGGGTCTGTGCTCGGGTTTGTCAGAGAGGGCGTGGAGGAGTTCGCCGTAGGCTGATAAAAGACCGGCTCCGTAGACTTTGGTTTCGCCACCTTCTTTGCAGAGACCGAATTCAACAGTGAACCAGTATACCTGGAAAGAAACAGAACTTTTAAAATGTATGCTCTTTTTTCTCATATTACTAATTTTTATACACATTTATGTAGTTTCAATCCAATTTCATTCGCATAGAATGAGCAAGAGGTACGGAAAGCAAGACAAATTTTTCTTTTGTACAACATTTCTGTTGTACAAAAGTGCGTAGTGAGTCTGTTCAAGTGAATCCCCGTGAACATAGTAATCAAAACACATCACCACTTTTTAATAGATATGTATTCGATGACATCTATGTATTGGATACATATAAAGTACTACAAAATCGGTTAAATTTTATAAAAAAAAACATATTTTGGTGTTTACAGTTTTTCTGAAAATTAACCGTTTTATTTTATGTGGTTTTAGTCTCCTCTGTATCTACAATAAATTAACTGTTTTCATGGTAATACAAGAAAATTAATATTAATATTTAAAAAAAAGGTACTTAAATTGAATTCTGATTGACTTGAGGGGTACTATATTAATTTAAGTCATTTTACTGACTTAACTTGCAGATCATAATGATTTAAGTCAAAAATATAGACTTAAGTCCTAAAAACGACTTAAATAACGTTATATTGAATTATATTTTTACAAAAATGAATTGACTTGAAATAAAATGACTTAAGTCAAAGACTTATGACTTAATTCATTTCAACTTTATGTTGAATAATTTGACTTTACACGACGACTTAAGGCTTAAGCCTTTTTAAAACTGACTTATTGCAGCCCTGCGTGATTAGGGGTTACCATAAAACAAGAGCAAAAAAATACATTTACAACTTTCAAATCATAAAACTTACGAAGAAAAAGAATGAATTTGCAATGCTGAATTTATCGACGACTTTTTAAGTAACTAAATTTATTAAAACTAGTATAGTATTTGGCATTATTGCGACATGGAACAATTAAAATCTGGACGTTTACCAAAAATCCGCCCGGACCCAACGGGATGTAGGGTAAATCCGGACATGTCCGGATTAATCCGGACGTCTGGTAACCCTATGCGTGATAGAAACAAAGAAATACTGATTTTCTATAAGTTTAGTCCAAAAATATGAATAATACGAAATCACAAAATCATTAACGGCCTGGGTAATGGTTGAAGACGTGATATACTTATCTCGCTAGGCCTAGATAGGTGTTATGTAAGGCTTGACCATGGACGCATTTTGCGGAGTTTGTCGTTGATGGTAACCGGTCACGCGTGTCCATTCTTGACCATGGCACGGTATCAATTATATAAGACGTATGTCAGGTCTAGAGGCGGTGCATCTGAATGCAATTTTAATGCCACAACCAGTAGCGTATCGCGTACCAAAAACAAATTGCTTTTAATTACAGTTAAGTACGTTAAAAATGAGAATAATTTATTAGTACTTACTTAAAACTTTCTCAAATTTTCGTTCATCGATAAAAATATACTGTGCGTCCAAAAATATTGGATAGGTGTAGACTCTTCTTAGTTTCTCAAATCAGTGAATTCACTCTAGTTTCTGAATTTTTTTAACTTTTACAGAATCAATCCATTTTACAGCTTTTTAACCAAGTATATTTAAGCTAATAATGCTTGGTTAACTAAGGTTCAGAATTATGCGGGAACGTTTACTTATAAGAGTCTGCTGCGAGCATGAACAAGTATGTATGAACAAACGAGAAAGTTAACTATAGAATCACCGTACATGAAACTCAATAGAATGTTCAGCAATCGTTTAACGTTAGGTCATACATTCTCTCTCAATCACTTGCCAACCAGATGAATGAGATTGGTGACGTCATTACGCCATTTCGTAAATTACTGCATATTCTTTTTAGTAATCGTCATTGTCATTTGATTTGGGGTTATAATTTTATTGACGGACATCGATCAATGTCAAAGTTAAAATTTGATTGTTGCTGTAAGGCAAAATTCAAATTTTTATGGCAAAAATGTCTTAAAGATAACCATAAAACTCTCAAAACCTAACCAAAATGAACAAGAGCTCATTTCTAAGCTTATAAATTATTTTTCTCGAGAAAGAGACGTTGGTAGAACATTCTTGGAGAGGCCTGTGGACGCCGTATATGAAGCAAATACAATGCAAAGGTGTAATATTCCTAGATAGCTAGATAGCGTTTTTAAATGATATAGCCAGTTACCGATGCTGTAAGAATAGGAATTTCAGTCCAAAGGGTTGGAATTAAAGGGATCCTAACTGATGACGAGTTCAAGAAAAAATTAATAAATGCCGAAAAAAAAACGAAACTCGCTCAATCAGTAACATAGAAACGAACTTAAATTTTTCTAAACAATATGAACTGATCTGGGACACACCCTGTAACTCATATTTGACAATTAATGATGACGTAACGGTAAACGATGACTGAACAGTCTTTATAAAAAAAGTTATTCTTTATTATGAGTTTAAATAAAATAAGTTTTTACAAAACCAGTATTTTCTATATCTACCGGGTGTGTCTCAAAAGTGGCTCATCCCTATAACTTTTTTATTTTGTCAGATAAAACAATGAGATTAAGTATGTTAGAATATGACAAAAATTGGGATTAATTGACATATTCAATTGTTTTCTGTCACTTCCGGTTTCTCATTGATTGTCATTCCTAGCCATCTTTGACGCTATTCTTGTTCTAAATGTCCCCAAAATCCTCATTTTAGTCGAGAATAATAAGAGAAGATGAAAATTCGGAAAAAAACTAAAAAATAGCTGTAAAACAGTATCTGATTGATATTCGATTTTATTCTGTTATCTTTATAGTTAGTTCTCGGGAAACCGTCTCCAAAAATAAATTCTCGACCATTTTACAACAATACTAATTGGCTACGCCACTGTTTTCATGGTATTTAATGTAATTATTCTATGCCAATGTTAAATTCAGCTATTTCCACTGCTTTTCTTCGGCAAATATGAACGTTTTTAAACAAACCGCTAATTTCCATCTAACCAGTTCGCGTAAAAAATAGTTTAATACGACCCATAAACGATTCCGGTCTCAATTTTACTACCTTTTCGGTATTCGGTGTGGGCGTTCTTAAACTAATGGACCGAAACAATCTCCATTCTGTTCTTGATTTCAGCAGTTAAAATTTTACGATTTCTTATACTACACTTATGACGAAAGAGTGTAGCTTTATTGAAAAAATAGCAGGTTGTTCAGAGAAATAAGTAAATCTAGAAGGGTCTAAACATATTCGTTTATCTACAAAAACTACAATCTAGTCAAGATAAAACATTCTTTAAATTTCTCACAAAAACGATATTTACTCGAAATTTAATGAATCATTGACTCTAAGTTAGAAAAAAAGCAATAATTTTTTGTTTCAATGTACCTAAACATGCTTAGGACTAAAAAAAATATTTCTTTATTCATAGAAACTCAAATTTGTACAAATTTCCCGAAATTCATATATAAAATTGAAATTGTTCGAATTATTAATCAGATGTTGACGATGAATATCTTTTAAACAGTTTGACGATGAATATCTTTTAAACTGTTAATTTAATCGACTAATCATAAGAATTCATTTTTGTAGAGCAGCGGATTTCCTACAAAACCGTAAGTTACGCGTATCATAATGATTTTTTGTTAACGAGTTATAAAATTCACAAGAAAAAAGAACACTGCCTTAAAATAATCAAACTTCAAACTTTAATAACTTTCGAAAGGTAAGGTTTACAAAAAAATTGTAAGAGACCTTTTTGGCAGAGAATTCAATTTCCTACAAACACGTGAGACGATATATTTTCAACTTTTCAAAATTTCCAAATAGTAGATACCGATATATTTCTCTTTCTAATAATAAGGAAAAAATAGAAAACTGAAAGGCAGAGGACCTCCCTATTAAAATTAAGAGCTCATTCTTGAAGAGAATTTTTTTGAAGTGTCTATCAACCTTTTTTTCTGAGTATAAGGTGAAAAAAAATAGTCGCTCTTTTTGGCCCACCCTAATATCCAGATTAGTTTTAAAATATATTTATTTGTATAAAAGTAACTTATTTTGATTTTTAAATTTTTAAAAGATTGTTAAATTAAAGATAAAAGAAAAAAAAACGTATCAGGACTTGATTCGTGTATTTTATGTCTTTTTATTTCTCCATATTAAGAAATGTCAAAAACGTCATATTTATTTTGCAAATCACGTAAGCAATAATTATTATTGTTTATTTCGTATAAATCAATAAAAAGTATTAAGTCTAGTCGGTCATGACGGTTGTTTGCAAATTAACAATATCATTAAGGTGCAAATCTGTTCATTATCACAAAATTGTGTTTTTTACATTATCTAATACGACAATAAGGAAATTAAACATATTAATTAATTTAATTCTGAAGGTTAATTAATTGCTAATCTCATACAGTTCATAAAAATTGCAATAAACTTAAAAAAAAGTATTTGTGGTTTTAAAGAAATAATTCGAGAAATATATTTGATTTAAAAATGTATATAATGTTTTAGCAAACAAAACAGAAACATAAAAAAGAATATTGCTGTTGTTAAATTGACATTTTTTACCTTTGGTAGAATTTAAAAGACACAATTGTTTTAAAACTTAAGTTTTCTTATATTGTTATTTATGTTTTATATTATTAGTTATGTTTATATTTTATTAACTGTTTAATCTTCCCATAACACAGAATCAGATGTTACCCTTATTTGTGATAATGTCTGTAAATTATGTAGGAAATATACTTACAGTGCTGAGTTTTTCGATTTCTTCGTCAGATGCTCCCAAAGAGGCCAGACCAATTTCTTGTGAGAATTGAGCAAAGCTGGGGTCAGCTAATAAAGGCATGTGACCAAGGATTTCGTGAATTGCGTCACTAAAATTAAAAAAAAATGTGTTATTGAGCTGTTTTGTAATAATTTGAAGTCCACTTTATATAGGAAAAAATCAAGGAACCAAAAATATATTTAGTATATAGATTTTTTAATCATCAAATACTGAAATTTAAATCCTACTAAGGATATTGGCCAGAAAATTAAAAATGGAATAAAAATATAAGTAGAATAAGACGATACGGATCTACTTTAATTTTGTAATGTCCCGGAACATTCCACTGGGAATATTTTAAGAAGATTAGTTTACAGGAAGATCAGAATTTGCGTTCAATATTTCGATGGATTTTATAAATTGACCTATACTGAGAGTACAGCGTATATTGATATATTTTTAACAATATCTCTAAAACTCCCTTATTTTCTTGGAATAAACATTTATTTAATAATTTTTAAAACCCGTTACTTGTTTATATTTTGAGCTAGAATATTCATTAAAAATAAATTGTGGGAGTTTTTAGTTAAGCTTAAATAGGTATTACCACAAATTGCATTCCCTGTCAAATGTTACAGTTTTTAATATAAACTATATTTTTATAAATACCACTATACAGAGTGAGTCTTAAATAAGTGCAAATATTTTTAGAGGTGGTATATTTCAACCCCTATGAGGGTTTTCCCCCAAAAAATATACCGAAAATCGTGCGTTTTCTTTTAAATCTTCCTGTATATTTTAGAAAACTTTTCGCGTGGTATATTTTTTAATCTCTGATATTACGATGGTTACGGCACTAAAAGGAATAAAAATACAGAAAAAAAGCCGGTGGCTCTTAAAATTTTGTAAAGATAATTTATTTTTTTTAACTTTTCAAACTTGAATAACTCAGTTATTTTGGACTTATTTGAAAAATGGTAAAGGAAAGATACGTTTCTTTTATCGAGATCTGCCAGCCCTGAAAATATTCACACTTATTTATTAAGACTCACCCTGTAAATTGGAAGTGTACTAACTACACAGTACACAGGTAATGAGATCATACGATCGAAAAAAACGACAACAGCGACAGACGGACTATAGCATCAGTTATTTTTAATGGTTTACTTAACCTGTTGGATATTGGTTTACTGGTTAAAGACCATTTTCAATATATTAAAATTGGTAGATATACTTATTTTAAATTAAAAAAGAAACGACTTCTTCAAAAAAAGATTTTTTTCAAATCGAAATCTTTGGCTATTCTGGAAAAAAAGCTTCTTGTAAATTCCTCCTAAAAATTCTGTTTCAAATCATTTTTCGATAGAAATTTTCTGAAAGTCTGATACGAAACGAATTTGAAATTAGGTTATGTTCCGTTCCATTACACGTCGCAAATACGAAGCGAAGTGACGAAGTTCACAGTAAAGGCGCGAAATCATCAAAGACCGATGCATTAACTCAATTTCACTGCCATTATCTCGCCGTAGATGCCAGTAATTGGCATTAAATGTCGCCTGGGTCGAGAGATGAAGCTGAAACTACCGTTTGATTTAAAAATATCCCGAAAATTCGTACAGTGGTTGTCAGAAAAGTTCTGCACACCATCAATTCGAAGTTGGTCAAAGAATGTTTAGAAAAACTGAACAAATTAGGCAAAGAAAATAAAGTCCTCCTATTCTGGGGGATCTGGGGGAACTCTGGGGACTCCACCAAGGTATAGAAGGTAATGAAAAAGCAATCAATCTAGCTAGAAAAGGAGCGAAGACTCCACTAACTGAACCATCGAACCGTTCTGTTTCCCAAGTGGAAATCGACTTAAAGCGGAACTCAAGAATCTGAAAGACCATCCGTAACCTGGAATGCAAACATTCTAAGACACTCGAAAAAAATTCTCAGTTTTTAAAAGGAGACACTCTCCTCAATTGCTATCCTTCATTCGCGAATTTCAAGTTCCAGAACTTTACGCCCTGGGCTACTCAGAACGGTTCTGAAAGGAGTTGTGCGCGATAGCCTGGTGCCTCCATATGACGCGGAACAGTTCATAGCTGCACAACTGCTTGAATGGAGGACAGTAAATGAACATCTCAGTAGATTGAAGCTAAGAAACAACGGGAAATGCAGATTCAAAAATAACTGTATACTCTGTTTTTTTTTCTCAGGTAAGATTTCGACTGACGATGACAGAAAAAAAGCAGATGACTTTCATACCAATCAAAGATAGCAATCCATTTATTTTACTAAAAAAAGTTTCTAATATTTTTTAAGTTAACTATGGCTGAGTTTATAATTAAATACGTCATGCGTCGTCTCTTGTTGTTTTTAATCAGTTTTATTGGTTTATTTCAAAAATGACAGATCATATTTCAATATTATTGGTTTGACGCAACGATGAACGACAAACGGACGCTTATGCGTATGAACTCGACTTAAGATTTTTGAGAGTTGTCAAACACTTGCCAAATTATAGGTTATAATTTTGTGTCAAATTATGTCAAATAGACATGATAAATATTTTGAATTTTGCATTTTGGACTGTGTTGTTACTTGTGTTTTGTGTTTTTTAAAATTAAGTGGAGGAAAACTCGAGGGAAAATTAAGTGTTGACCCAGACCATAGTGAACAGTTAATATTCGGTGCACAGAGACCGCCAGAGAATATGGCCAGAGAGTTTTATTAGCCACAAATAAAGTTGTATACCATCTTGTACATGGTACCAAAAACTGGAGTATCTGTAAAATAACATCAAACGATAGGTAAATAATACATTTTAGTACTGCAGAAAAAAATTAAGATTAAAGTTAATTAACCAAGATTAGATTTTTTCAGTTTCATACAGTTTTTTATTCACAATATTTTGAAGTACTCACTTGTCACTCAACATTTAGCCTTCCAATTCTACCAACTTATTTCTTTGTAAAATAAAATAAACTCCTTTGAAATTAAAATGACAGACACATCTATCACTGTCAAGGATTTTGTCGTTGGACAGACTATTTAACTTTTGATAAAACATTTTTCTAGAATAACTCCATTTTCTTAAGAACAAACAGTGATACAGGATGTACTTACGGTTCAGGTGTGTGAAACGGAGAATTCACGTGACGTATATACTGAGTGCTCTGGAAGATCCTGAATGCCAGCGAGGCCAGGAAATCCCTGGCTGTCAAAAGGCCAGCGGCGGGTCTCAGGGTGAAACCGGTGTGTTTCTGCATGAATTTCGACATTTCCTCCAATTGGGGAATCTTTTCTTCGTTAAAGAGGCCTTCTTCCTGGAGCAGTTTGAAGACGCGGCGGTACTCGGCGCATGCGTGCTTCTGGGTCAGTTCCTGGACGGTGGTGAACACCGATTTCCAGGTCTTGTTCTCGGTTTCGGTGTACTTGATGTATGGTACTGAGTCTCCACTAAAAAAGAGAAGATGAAAGTTCAATAGTACTTGTATAACTTTTTTCGTGATGTCTCAAAACATTAAAAATACTAAGTGCTTATACAGGGTGTTTCAACAAACATCTGCCATCTCTCGTGGGGCGTTTCGTAGCTACAGGGTGTTAAAGCCTTAATATTTTTTCGATTTATTTTAATTTTCTTCCAAGAACTTTTAGAGTTTTGAATGAAATTTTGAGGGTAAAAGTTACTATAAATGCGACATATTTTAAAGCTAAAAACTGTCGACATATTCACCAGGGACGTGCGTATAGGTTATTACTGGAATATTTTTCTAAAAAAAACATGTACGCCACTGACTTTTTATTCTCTTGTTAGCGAAATAGTGTAAGGAGTTTAATGCCAATTAAAAGTTGTCTCTTCATATTTTGTCGATTTCGGCCACCTTGATGAGATAAACGCAATATACGATATAAGTTTCTATTAATTTATTAAGAAATAAATATAATAATAATACAATAATTTCTTATACTTACTATTTATAAGCAAAAGCAATCTCAGCAATTTCTTTACGCCTAGCCCTGTATTCCTTATCAGCGAACCCAGGATGGTTCATATCCAGATCAGGCTCGTACTTAGTCATCAAATGATTACAATCGTCCAACTCGCTAGCATGCCTGGGGAACCAAGGGTTCTTAGCCGAGATGTTATCCTCACCGATCAAAGTGGTGTGCTCGAGAGTCTGCGATTGCCTCAAGTTCTTCAACAGTTGAAGCATGTTGAGTCTGGACATGTCGATCTTGATCAGGGCGTCAAGTTGAGCGGTTTCGTTGGCGTTGGGGCGGGTTTCAAGATGAACCACGGTTCCATTGTACTTTTCGATGAGTTTCAGCACTCTGGAGAGGGAGTTCATGCCCTCGCGCAGGCGCAAGATGAGGGCGGCTCTTTGGATGATCTTTTCCGAGTCTGGGTCCTCGGTGATAGCGTTGTTGAGGACGACTTCTTCTTCGGTAAGTCCGGAATCTGGAAAAGAGGTATATATTTTTTATCATTAGGGAAATCCAAATATATATATTTGTATGTTTCATAAAAAAATTACATGTCTAAGTCGGGTTTATTCAAATATTCTGTTCTCTATTTATAGTATAAACATTCAAATCTAGAAAGATATAGAAATAATTGTGAGAACTCATGATAGTAAATGTCAAATAGATTGGTCTCAATCATTCCAGATTATCCCCTACCTTCACCGTGAATCACCCTATATACAGGGTGGTCCGAACTGTATTCCGGAAACTTCGGCAGTATATTATACAGATAAAAATAAGTAAAAAAGTTCGTATAAATGTATATCCTAAATGCCTAGTTTCGGAGATACAGGGTGTAAAATTTTCATTTTTATTTCGATTTTTTTCCAAATAATTTCTGCCGTAACGTCAATTTTTGGATGAAAATTGGTCTCTGGGAGTTTTTTGACATGAGAAATTTGATTTTGATGTCAATATGACTCCTACTAGTAGAGGGCACCACCTACATATTTTTAACTGGTTTGAAGAGTAATAACTTTTTGTCCTTACCTGTATAAAACTACTGAGTAAAAAAATATACATTTACGACTTTTTTTACGTAAAAAATGTCTCTTGGTAAAAATCGCTACGAGTATTGGTTTTCGAGATATCTAGAATCGAAATTATCAATAATTGTCATCATTGACATAAATTAAACATATTGACTAGATAGTTATTAGACTGACATCATAAATTTGAAAGTTTTTGTGCCAAAAGTTCAATAGAAACTGTTTTATCATCATTTTTTTGCAGAAAAATTTATGATTAATTTAAACAAATAAAAATTTCCCAAATTTATTATATTTCAGTGAAATTACTATCTAACTCAACGTGTTTATTTTTCGTCAATAATGACATGTATTGCCTATTTCCATTCTAAATATCTTGAGAACGGTTGTTGCTCGTAGCGATTTTTACAAAGAAATATTTTTTACGTAAAAAGTCACAGAGTCATATATTTTTCCCTTGGTATTTTTATACAGGTAACGGACAAAAAGTTATTACGATTCAAAACAGTTAAAACACATGTAGGTGGTGCCCTTTACCAGTAGGAGTCATATTGACATCAAAATCAAATTTCTCATGTCAAAAAACTCCTAGACACAAATTTTCATTATTTGGAAAACATCGAAATAAAAATGAAACTTCTACACCCTGTATCTCTGAAACTAAGCGTTTTAGGACATGCATTTATACAAACTTTTTTACTTATTTTTATCTGCAGAATATGTTGCCGAAGTTTCCGGAATACAATTCAGACCACCCTGTATTTTAGTAATTTCCATATATCTTGAAACCATTTTTATAATCTTATACATCGTTTCTTTACTTCTTACAATCAACCTTCAAAAAAATTACGCTCATTTTGAATCGAAATGGAACAAAAAGAAATAACTCGACTTAAAACCATAATTGGACACTCCGCGACAAAAGGACACCGAAACGGAGAAAGAAAAAAGGACTGGCTGGGAAACCTTTTATAATCGCAAAAGTCAATTTTCGCCACTCCATTTGACGTTTGAACAGGGCTGATGGCACAGAGAGCCGAAGTTACGGAGGCGAACAATTTTTTTTCCTTCGCCACGAACAAGCATAATTTTGGATTTTCAGTTAAGGCGGTGAATGATGATCGTTGGAAAGCCTAGCTTTCGCGTTTCCTCTATATAGCTGGGGAAAAGTACATTTTTATGTCGGGCTTTATTTTCACACGTAGAGCCCGGACAGGACAGATTTATCGCTGATTTCACGACTCAAGTTTTATTGAGATAGAGAAAATATAAGTGTGTTTAGGTCTCATATTTTGTGACATTCCATTCATAAAACGTAAAAAATATCGCAACACAATTCTTCCCCTACACAAAGTTGTGAGCAGGGTTCGGAAAACTACATGTTACTCTTAAAAACTACATAAACTACATTACATGTAGTTAATGTTAGTTAGTTTATATAGAGGGTGTAGTTTATGTAACCTATGTATGTAACTTCCAAATATCAAAGGTTTGAGTTGAGGTTATAATAAGTTGAAGCTTTAGAAAACACAATGTATTTAAGGAAAGAGAAGAAATATGCCGTTAAATTTAACGTAGTTTTCATGTAGTTAATGAACGGGAGAAGACGTAGTTTTTGAAGAAAAACTACACGTAATTAATCAGGTAAATTACGTCTTAATTAACTACTTCCGAACCCTGGTTGTGAGATCTAAGATATCATGTATAGTGATGTGAAGGGTAATATTACCAGTAATTTTGGTAATAGGAATTTGAAATTATGCCTTTATTTTCGAGGAAATTTAGTCCAAATATAAGGAATATTTTCAATGCCTAGAGAAGCTCAACAAATTAGGCAAAGAAAATAAAGTCCTCCTACTCTGGATGCCTGCTCACCAAGGGATAAAAAGCAATGAAAAGGCAAATGATCTAGCTAGGAAGGGAGCGAACACTCCACTAACTGGACCAAAACCGTTTCCAAACGGGAACCAACTGAAAGCGGAACTGAAGAATCTGGAAGACTCAATCCGTAACTTGGAACAGGTGTCCTCCAACGGTCTAAGACACTCGAAAAAAATCCACAGAACTTACGACCGAGAAAAATCAAAAGTTTTCTTTGATTTAAGTAAAAACAATCTTCGGATTGTCACGGGGTTTCTAACAGGACACTGTCTCCTCAACGAACACCTCAGTAGGCTGAAGCTGAGAAACAACGGGGAATGCAGATTCTCTGGGGAAAATGGGGAAACACCAGAATTACTGAGTGCGCCGAGACGACGACCATTCGTGCCATGAACTTTGGTACGTCTGATGTCGTGGATGGAGAGCTGGCCTCTGTGGAGCCGTCTCAGATATTGGTGTTTGTTAAAGCCCTGAGACTGTATAATGAGTTATAACTCGTTATAACTCAAGAAAAGGGAACACACAATAGATCTATAAGGTCGCGGTGATAGAGGGGAGTTCCCCTCCTAAACATTCTACATTCTACAAGAAATATTTTGTTAATGTTTGACCATTAAAATCTAAAAATTAAAGAAGTTCTCTAAAAATGTGCTACAATACGGATATAGTATAATCCTTTATCTTTAATTTCCTTCTTCATTTATGTAAAAATACCTCGCCAGTTTTACATAAAACGTTAAATGCCGAACGCTTATTTTGCTACTTTTTCGGACTGGTAAAATGGACTCTTAAACTAATTTCTAAAATAGTTATAGCCACGGATTAAATAATATAAGAAATCAATAAAACTATTTCACGGGCTCTTGAAGAAATAGAAAAAAAACTTTATATCAATAATTAAACTATAACCGATCTCTTAAAGCACCTTATGCACGAATGTCACGCCCATGAAGTTACCCGCAAGAAGGTCTCCACATCGTTTCGGTCTAATAATTCAATGATTTAATATTATTGTTATTATTTGCGCCATTTTTTTCTTTTAGACGCTTTTAATGGCCATGCATTTCGATTATGAACTTTTTGTGCGATAGAAAATCTTTAATACAGAAGTATTAAGCCAGTTGATATATGTTTCTTAAAAGAAAAAACAAAATAAGAAGACAAGCAGCTGAAAAAATTTATTATTCTTAAATAAAGGCTAGTGTATGTACACTCGATGTGCAAGGATCCAATAACCCCATTAATTTGTTTCCTCTTTTAATCTCTTGTAATTCCGTGATCTGGGTAAACGCCGATATTTCCGAGAGATATTTGTTTTCTAAAAAACATCCCCTTACTATTAGGTGCACTTTTGTTTAGCACTAGCCTTAATAACTAAAATTCACATATACATTATATTAAATAACTGCTTTAAAAAGAACACTTCAATTACCATGTCCAACTTTAGTACAAAATGATATTCAGGCTAGGATACATACTAAACAATGCCTAGGTGCAAAGACTTGCTTGTCTGAGCATAACAGGGGCAATGAAATCAACGCTCACTGTATCAATGGAGGCGCTTCTGGACCTTCCGCCTCTTCACATAGTGATCCAGGCGGAGGCAAGAATGGGTCTCTATCGACAACGAAGTGTCTTGTCTCTGGGAAATAGGACAGAAACAGGACACTTAAAGATGGGAGATTCTATCGCAGGATCTCGACTCCAAATGAGATCGGACCAAGTGACCCCTCTTTATCACTACCACAAACCATTCGAGGTGAACAAAATGGATCGAGGAATGTGGACAGATATAACATTCCTTCAGGATGGACTAACCTGGTATAACAATGCTTTAAAAGTAAAACTTTAAAATACTAGCTAATTTTTCATAGAACTTTACAGTTCTGTTTGTAGCCTAAAAAGTATACAGAATTCTTAAAATTAATTGTGGCTGACTTTTTGAAATGTTAATATATGTTGTTATACATTATTGGCATTATTACAATTGTGTCAAGGACATTCAAATATCACACTATTTACCCGAAAATCATAATTAAAATTAATTAATGTTAATTTTTAATATATCTAATTATAAGAAAATCTTACCGTCTTTGTTGTCTTCTGCTCTTTGGTTGCATTGTTCGTTTTCAATGTCTGGATCTACACTAGAGTCTACAATAAACAAAAACAAAAAAAATCATGCAAAAACCGTGCAAAAATAAAATAAAAATAGATAAAATATGAACTAGAGCATTTAACAAATAAAAGACCATGCAAGATGAAAAATAAATAATTTACCATTAGCTCTGAGTCTAGCCTCATCCAAAACGGTTTGCTTGGTTTGTTTCACGACCAACGTTTCGAACCTGGCATCATCAACGAGTGATCTACGCCTGGCTGGATATCCATTCTAGAACAAAAAACAAAGAAATATTAAATAAATCAAGATAAGAAATATAATATATTAGGATATGGAGGTATCACTGCAGTCTATAAGAGATGCAGAGCTGCAGCCTGTGTATTGATTTTTTCTTGTATTTAATTCATGTGTTATTGAGTTTAGTTTACTGGAAAAAATGGATTTAATTTCAAAATATGGAAGGACTTATACATCATATCATTGAATATTGACAAAAAACTTGAAGTTGTCTGACTAGACAGGGTCTAAAAAAGGAGTCTTAAATAAGTGTAAATATTTTCAGGGCTGGTAGATCTCGATAAAAAAAACATATTTTCTCTTTACCGTTTTTAAAATATGTCCAAAATAACCGCTTATTTTACTTTAAAAATTTAAAAAATATATGATTTTTTGCTTAAATTTTGAGAACCACTGGATTTTTTCCAAGAAAAAATATACCTAAACAAAAAAGTAAACTCTTTCCATTTATTGTCCTTAATACAGCTTTTTAATAAAAACTGCTGATTTGCAATGATAATATATACAGATACAGTAATTAAAATCGATCTCATATAATGTTTTATTTATTACACACAAAGATGCATTGTTAATATTACATTAATTATCGCATTTACGTAAGATTTTTTCTTCTTCAATCGCATCGAGAAAGTTCTTGCTTAAAATATCTTTGTCAGAAATGGAATGTCTGAGACACCCTTCCGGTAAAAGTTCTGAGGCAATTTCCTCTGTATAATGAGCTCGTCTTTTGACTCTACAAGGCGCTATAGAGTTCATAACTTCACTTTGTTCTAAAAAAGTATTAATAAAAAGAATTGAGCAAGATTAAGTCCGTCTATTCATATACCATTAGCTTCAACAAGTGCCTTTTTTTAACAATATAATGGTCTTTAATAATGTTTTCCATAGCAACTGTTAAAATTAGCGATGGGAACTATCGAATGAATTAGACTATCGAATGGTTAATGAATGAATGATTTCAACTATCGAATGGTTTTATTCGAATAAAATCATTCATTCATTTGTATACTAAAGCATATGTGACAACCTCGCCGTGCGACTAAATGGTTATCGTTGAGCCACGACTATCGAATGCTTTTGATAAATGAAATTTAGTATTCGTTTGATTTTTGTATGCGTCAGTGCATTATTAGTTCTTCCAAAATTTTATAACTTCGCCGTATAAATACTGTGCTATTTTTGCGTTTATTAAAATAGTTAAAATACTAAAATAGTAGTTATTTTTTAATTTTATTTATTGACAATTGTGTGCATGTGCAGGTGGTCAAAATTTTTCCGAAAATTTGTGTGCTTTTCCGTAGTCCGATCTTTCAATTATTTAATTTTATATGGTATATGGTCTATTTTTTAATGGGAAATTTTGAGAAGTAGCAATTTTTAAGAGAGATGAGATGAACTTACAATTAATTTTAAAAATACATATTTGTATTTTAGATGTTTTAATAATATGAATTAGTTGAACTTAATAATATCATATTTAAGTAATGTGGTTAAGTAAATGGGGTTATCGAACTCAAAAAGTTTCACACGTGCCAATTTAAAAAAAAGTTAACGATGTTTGTATTTTGTTTATGCTAATTCTCTTACATGTAGTTTTTTGCGAAGAAATATTTCATTTATTTTTTAAAGTAAATGCCAGTAAAAGTAAATATAATTTTTAAATAGTAATATAAAGCACCTAATATAAATAATTTTGATTTCTAATTTTTTATTTATATTTTCCTTCCATTACACTGCATGCTTAGAAAATTAATAAATGTTTATATTTCATGATTTTAAAATTTGTTGTTAATATAACAAATTAGTTCTGTAATTATTATTATTTAATAAACCAACGTTGCCACACACAAAAAATTTAGAGACTATATTATTTTTAAATAGGATCTAATATAAATAATTTTGACATCTAATTTGTTGTTTATATTTTGCTACTACTTAAAAAAAATATTTATATTAAATGATTTTAAATTTTGTTGTTAATAGGTATAACAAATTATTACTGTTATTATTATTTATTAAACCAGTCTTTGCTTAAAAACATTAAAAATCATTTTCCTACATCCAAAATAACAAGTATTATTGCAGTGTAACAACAGAGTATTAATAAAAAAGAATGCAGAATATATAGACATACTATCCCTAACTAACTAAAGCCAAACAATAATATTCTTTGCTAATATCAACTAATACCAAAATATGGCAACAGCGCCCTTCATAATGTATTTTCTGTGTAAATACTAGCACCTCAATAAAAAAAATGTGTCCTTATCTATATCTGACTCCGCAAAAATCAAAGATGCCGGCTTCTTTCATAGCATTGCCACCGACCGCTGTCGGGTTTCTCGGAAAGAAACCTACGTCGCCGGGCGACAACTAAAAATTCAGTTAATATTTTATTATAATCGATCCTGACGAATAAATGAATTTCATAAATGAATGAATTTTATAAATGAATGGTTTTTGCTGCCGAATTACTAGAATACAATATTTCAAGGCAGATGACGGATCTATTCGATAATTTTTATTCGAATAGTTTTCAACGAATGTTTTTTTACTAACTATCGAATTATTCGAATGAATTGCAACTATCGAATGTTTCGGTAGTATTCATTCGATAGTTCCCACTACTAGTTAAAATTGCCTTATATCTATCAAAAATAGTAGATTAAATGATACTTTAACAGCATCTATAATAGCATTTTATTGTCTTGTATAAAAAATAACTATTATTATTGATTTTTGAACCGGGAGATATGTGGAATTAAAGCTGCATTCAGAACCTTGAAATTAGTGACAGAAATTAGTGGTTTCAATCAGCATAGAAGTTTGTTCCCCTAATTTCAATGTAAGCATTCAAAACATCAAAATTATTGGTAGTAATTTTCAATTAGTAGAAAAAGTTAAGGAATGTACAGGGTGAGTCAACGATAAAGTCCATTATCTCAATTGTTTCGAGTTTTACAAAAAAATGTTAAATAGAAAAATTATAGGGAAGGTTAAGATAGATTTCCAAAATTATTATAGAGTATACAAGGTGCTTCAAAAAAGTGTGGCGGATATAACTTATGTTTTTTTTTTTTAAATGCGACACCCTATTTTTTATTTTATTTTTAGATTCTCTCGATCTTATTCGCTTGCAGCCATGACAATCACATATTCTTGTACATAATTAAACGCTCTACAAAAAAGGTTTCTTACAATTTTTCGATAAACCTACACCTTCAAAAGTAATTCACGGTTAAAGTTAACCACTCGGTAAATTCCTAAATTTTTCAACTTTTTTGACAAAATTATGATTATTTTTGAAAAATTTAATCTATTATTTGAAAAAAAAGCAATTTTTATGATACCATGATAAACAATTTTGAACAATTGAATGCATGACAGGTACTTAATTCTAATGCTTATTATTTTTTAGCTTGTATTCGTTTGCAGTCAAGAATTAACGCAGCTCTGATAAAAGCTGTACAGAATCTTTACCATGGAGGAAAATCACAAATAAAAACGGTCAACGGTCTCTCAGAGGAAATTTCTATCACTAAAGGGCTCCGACAGGGTTGCTGTATATCCCCAACACTATTTAAAATTTATATTGCCAAGGCCTTACATCTATGGAAAAGAAAATGTAACGGAATGAGTATAGAACTAAATGACATATGCCTATACACCTTGCAATTTGCAGACGACCAGGCCATAATTGCAAACGACAAAGATGACATGGAATATATGGTGCGGAAAATAATTGAAGAATATGCTAAATGGGGTCTCACAGTAAATACAGAAAAAACAAAATACCTTCCAATTGGAGCTAATACAGAAAATCTTATTTTAGACAATAATATGGAAATTAGGGCATGTGAAGATTACAGGTACCTGGGATCGATATTTACAGGAGATGGAACGGACGATAGAGAAATAAACAACAGAGTAATACAGGCACGAAGAGATGCATAAATGGCATTCTATGGAGCACTGAAATTACAAAAAACTGGAAATATAATATATACGAGACACTAGTTAAAAGCATATTACTCTATGGATGTGAAACATGGCGACTCACTGAAAGGAATAAAAGGAAATTAGAGACAACAGAAATGGACGCGATTAGAAGAGCAATGAGAATTTCACGGAGGGATAAGATCAGAAATGAAGACATTAGACAACAGATGGGAACAGAGGGAACAATAGTAAATGATATAGAACAAAAACAATTAATATGGTACGGCCACGTTCAGAGAATGCACAATGAAAGAATTCCAAAACAAGTCATTCATTGGATACCACCTGGTAAACGAAAGAGAGGACGTCCCAAGAAAACATGGATAGAAGGAATAAGAAGGTCGATGAGCGAGAAAAATCTGACCGAAGATCGATGCGAAAATCGCACAGGGTGGAAGTTAGGCATCGGACAACGTCGTAGGACGTTCTGACCCAAATTTATATATATTCTTTTCCAGTACATAATTAACTAATTTTAAGTAAGTTCGGTAAAATTCTGTTTTCTCTAAATTTTTCCTAACATTTTTTTTCCTATTGAGTTGACGATTTGAATGTTTTTTTACAAACATTCTTGCCAACATACGGATTTTTTATACGCAAACGCACTTCAACGCATTTAGTATCTCCACTATAGTCACTAGCGTCTAGTGGACCGTGCAACTCTCCAACTTCTAACCCACAGTTTCAAATAGTTTTAACTTGAAGATTTCTTAATTCCCAACCTTAATACCATCAGAATTGTATATTTTTACAGTAACAGATTAAGTTTTTCAAAAATAATCATAATTTTGTCAAAAAAGTTGAAGAATTTAGGAATTTACCGAGTGGTAAACTTTAACCGTGAATAACTTTTTAAGGAGTAGGTTTATCGAAAAATTGTCAGAGATCTTTTTTGTAGAGCGTTCAATTCTGTACAAATGTGTGATTGTCATGGCTGAAAGAGAACAAGATCGAGAGAACAACAACAAAATATATTAAACTTGTATCTGTTATCTATATGTACAACAAATCTAATAAATAACGTATACGTGATTGATTTGAATTAACTGTTACATTACCAATGCAAATAACCAGGTTGTTCCTTACGAACGCTGGATAAAACCCGTACATACGTGTTAACACGAATTAAATAGTTTTTTTCTGCTCTCGTTGCTATTTTTTTCTTTTAATTAGTCTATATAGATTTTAATGAGGGGGCTTGGCTGGTTACCACCGCCCGATGCCCTTGAGAAGGGTAAACGGAAACGGTCGGCCTACGGCAAGGTCAAGCTAGAGAGGTTGGATTACGTGTCGGGTACGTTCTTTTCGAGCACAAGTGCAGTCAAAGTACCGAGGCGGTTGCTTTCGCGCTTACCAGTACCCGTATGTAAGTCAAGTGCAATGCATGCATGGAACTACCCTTTTCATTATTATTACTAGATTGTTAATGATGTTAATAAAAAAAATCTATTCAAATATATATACAGACCGGACCACCGTAGTAGTAACATAAGCAGAACCGGACGAATTAGCGTATACCCGTCCGCCGGATAAAAAGCAGGCGAAAAAATGCGATCAAATAAAAATGGGTCGATATGTGATAAGAATGTTTCAGAATTTGTATTTATTCGTGTTTTAATAGCCAAAACGAATACGTAGATTCTCGCGACAGTTCTCGTGTAAATTTTATTTTTTAAGTAAAATAATGGATGTTTATGAAGTTCGTGAGAAAATTCAAATTGTAAAATGGTATTTCCAAAATAGGTCTTATCGGGATATATTAACAATTTTTCCACAAACTTTTGTAAACAGGCCAATTCCATCTTTATCTACTATATCAAGAGTTATTAATAATTTTGAAACACATGATGGGTGCGTGTCCCCACAAAAACACAAAAAGCCTGATGTGTGGATTAATGAAGAACAGGAGTTAAAGCAAGTGTTCGTTTGTGCTACCGCGGATCAAAATCCCACGTTTTCAAGTAATCAAATTGCTGAGCTGGTTGCCCTGCACAATGCCCGTATTGTTCAAGGATATTTGAACAATACTTTTCCCAACCGTTTAATTAGTGGACATGAAACTATTTTGTGGCCCGCTAGATCTTTCTCCCAATGATTTCTTTTTGTGGGGTTATGTAAAATCCAAAGTGTATGGTCATAATAGGGCTAATAATCTGGATGAACTTCAAGTAAAAATACGAGAGGCTTTCCAAACTATTAGCCCTAATATGTTAGCCAATGTCAGACGGGGATTTTACGACCGCCTAGGCTTCTGTCTAGCACAAGAAGGTGGTCTTTTTGAACACTTGTTATAACTTTTTTTTTTATTTAGAGTAATATTATTTTTAGTTTTGGCTTGTAAACACACTCAAATAATAAATATTTAAGTATTTTTATTTTAAGTGTTACCTTAAGTGAAGGTAAACACTTAAAAATACGAACGCAAAACGGGTAGACGTAAATTCGTCCGGCAACTTGCTGTGTTACTAGTAGCCTGGTCTTCTCTGTATAGGGTGTTCCAATATTCCGGGATTAGAATTGTTACGTGTTTTTTGAATTAAAATCAGTTAATTGTTGACCATTAATCTCAATACAAAAGTGTCTTCGTTTTTCTTTTAGAGAGGGAGCCAATTAAAAATAAACCCAACGGTTAATTATTTAAAGTTATTAATATGAAGGTTATTGTCAAAAATTATTATCTAACTAGACTATTATATCCTACGATATACATTCAGTTCTAATTGTCAATAATCCTGAAAAACTACAAGCACGAATTAATGAACTAAATGCAGGCAGCAATAAAATGGGTCTCATAATGAATTTAGCAAAAACTGAAGTAATGTACCGGGTGTCCCACTAAGAATAGCTCTCGGCTGTATCTCGGAAAGTATTAGCCGTAGGGTTTACGGAAAAAAAAATTATAACTAAAGGGGCTATGAGAAATTGCTGGAAATTATTTTCAAGTTTGTAGAACGACCGCTAGGGGGCGCAACTGCAACAAAAAATATTAAAATGGAGTTTTTACACAATTTTGTCTAGATAAGGTGTACTATAAGTAATAGCTTCATAATCTTCAGTAAATTTTGAATATTTTTTGTTAAGGCCATTTTCCCCTATCTACCAAAATAAAATGGTGGGGGAAGGTTAGATCTGTTTTTATTTAAATATTAATAACTCTGGACTGGATGATCGGAATCGAACAAGCGAGGGCTCGTTTAAAAGGGCGTTTCTTACTTTATATTGTGCCATATAAACAATAATAATAAGCTTTTGAACGTAGACGCTAGGGGGCGTTGTCTTACAATTTAACAAACATTGCGCGTTTTTTCAAAAAAATTAAATGCAATAGTATACGTAATTTTAGCTGATAGTAAACAGCAGTAAAAGCTTAAAAAGTCAGCGGAAACCGCATCTTGATATCTTCTTTCAAACCGAGGATATTAGCAAAATTATAATAAATAACAAAAAATAACTCCTTAATTACATTATTTTTACAACACGGTATCAGTAGCCCTCTTAATTATGCCCATTCTAACAAAAAAATAAGATAGAAATAGTTAGTTTATTTTAAAATCGACGAAAAATCGAGGTATTAATATCTAATAATTAAGATATTAATAACAGTAAACAAGAAACGATGATTCAGTGAAGTCATGGTAGGCTTTGGAAAAAAGTTGCTTTTGACGTAATAGTATAAACGTCAAATTGTTATTAGATCAACATTTTGATAGTCTTATCAGCGTTTTTTATCTTTTAATTGCTTTTTCAAAATGCCTTTATTATTTGAAATAGTTGAAGTTGTTGGCATATATTTTGTATAAATAATTTGACGGGGATCACCCCCGGGCACCCCTGTAGTTACGCTAATGGAAATCAACAGGGAGAGGCTACACCATAATTGGAAATTGTTGAATAAGCTGAAAATGATGATGTTGATCCTTTAGAAGTAGTTCTTATTGTTTTTTTTTAACGCCCTCTATATTACTTTTCTTTAAGATTCAGAATTTGCAAATGTTTTGGGTATATTATATTATTATTTCATATGAGTCTTTCACCAGCAAAATATAAGTTAAGAAAAATTACTGTAAAAAAATACTTTTCTCTTAGCTTGTTTTATTGTATGATAGAAGTTGTTTATAAAACATTTTCTTTCAGATTTTTAAGTTTTATTTTTTTTAATTTTTACTTTTTATGCAGTAATTGTTTAAAATGTGGTTTTAACAGTTTTTCTCTTCTATTATCTTCAACTGAAATACTTTTGAGATTGAGTTTTACAACAATTCATTTTTGTTTTAGCATATTCTTAATAATAAACCTGAGACTTGAAAATGAATTTTGGAACACTAATATTTGTTTTTCTATATGATTTAAGTAAAAAAAAATGTAAAAACTATTTTTATGATACATATTCGCTTGTGATTTGCAACACACTTAATAAAAATGTCTAATATTTTTGTTTCTTTTGTATATATATTTTAAAGGAACAAATTAAAAACATCCAATTACAGAAAAATAAGATACTGTTTGAAATATTCTAATTTGTTTATTTTTCATTTTTAATGACAATTTTTCCTGGGATTACTTTTAAAATTATTAAACATTATAAAAACAAATGCAAAAAAAATATTGAACTAAAAAAATAGAAAAATTAAAATAATGAAACAAAAAAACATATTTTGAGTTATAGATTCATATTTAAAAAAAAAATACATTTTTTATCATTTGAAAAGATTTTGAATTTTCTAAAATTAAATATGTTTACGAGGTAATTTTTTAAATTATTTTTATTACAATTTATTTACCAGTATTCAAAGAAAGATAAAACGTTGTAACCGAAAAACTTAAATATATTATTAACACTCACCTCAATACTGTAACTTTTCTTGATAGCGAACATCTCCCTGTTCTTCTGAGCAGCAGCTACGGCAGCCATTTCGACAAAATGCGAGATTTTTTTCGAAAAAGCACTTCAGAAAAATTCAAAAAACCGCGCACTGACTCTGATTCTTCGACCCAAAATAATCTTGCTTCGACCACGAGAACACGCGTCTGTCGAAGAGCTTTATTTTTTCTTCAGAATTGTTGAAAAATAACCAACAGATTATTTTCTGGTCGGCCTGGTCGTGAAACACCACCGTGAGGGAATGCGTGGTGGCCGGCGGAAGACTTGTCTTTTATGGGGCCACGGGTGGGACCCCCCCGGGTGGGGAGGAACCTGCGTGGTCCCAGGGAAAGGGGAAGACCTGGAGCGGACGGCTACCGGCACGGTGGTCGCGTCGAAGAGCTGGACCTGAGATGGGTGGGCCTAGTATGTTCGCAGACAGGCCGGAGTTTTTTACAATTTCTATGATCATTACTTAATAATATCGTATAATAGAAAAAATGTGTCCAAGACAGCCTGAGGTCGATCTCTAAAAGTCAGTTAGGTTAGGTTGTGATAATATTAAATATTATTATATACAGGGTGGCCCATCGAAAACGTTCCGCAAGGCATAACGGCCAGGGTAATTTTTTTTCCAGAAAATCAAAAACACTTCAGTTTTGTTTGTGGGGGGGACAACTTTTGCCCCAAAAATGATTGCAAAATCTTCAACCCTCTAAGCGGGGGTGTCATCCCCCAACTTTTTTCAAAGGGGAAGGGGGGTCAAGTGGTACCGCAATGAAAAGGGCTTTTTATTCTCTAGATTTTCCCGCTTCGTTTTTGAAAATCGGTCGAGTCACTGAGAAAATATGAAGGATTGAAATTTGAAAAGTTTATTTAAACATTTATCAGAGTAAATGTTAAGGATAAATTCTTTCAACCAATTTGCTGTTTTTTATTATTATTTCTAGATGTTTACGCATTTTTTCACTTGCCACAAGGTTGAACGATCAGGTGCGGCATTTGCTAGATAGCTGTTCTGTGACTTGTGCGTTGAAGTTCTTCTCAATATCGTTAAACTTTTAACAATTAAGGTGTACTCACTTGCAGAAAAAAGTGGAAATAATCGAACTTTATTTTAAAAATAATGAATGTAGCAATCGGTTTCCGCTGATATTCAATGAATGCCATCCTGAAAAACACCTTTATGGCAAAATTGTTCGCGAGTTAGTAGCAAAATTTCGCGAAACTGGTTCCGTTATGAATAAAAAGAGACAGAGGGAAAACCCTGTAATAAATGAAGCTATGGAGGTATTCGTATTGGGCCAAGTTGCCATGGATAGTACGCTGAGTACAAGAAAATTAGCCAATGCAAAATTAGCCGGCGTGAACCGTACCAGTGTCGAAAGGATATTAAAAAACACAAGTTCCACCCGTACAAAATTCAGTTGGTACAGGAACTCAACGAAGACGATTTTGATCGTCGCTTGCAATTTTGTGAAACTGTGAGTGAACGAGTGGCGAATGATAATAATTTCCTATTTAATGTGTGTTTTTCGGATGAGTGTACTTTCTTTTTGAACGGTGTAGTTAATCGGCATAACTGTCGGTACTGACCAGAGAAAGAAAGATTTAAACACTTCAAAGAACTTCTTACACTGATATTCGGTAAGTTATTGATGGATCAATATACAGATATGTTTAATATTCAATAATCAGTTTCAGATATAATAATAAATAAGATATAATTGGTATCATTGAATAAATACTTCTTAAAAAGAACGAAAAGTTAGGCATCAAAACTTGCATTATTTCCTAAATTCGTTCATAAGAAGTAGTTTTATCTAGCACAAGATGTATATACGAAGCAAAATACATACATATACACGCGGTAGTCACAACTGCAATAGAGTTGTGTAAACAGAGTTTAAACGTAACACACAAGCACTGTGTATCCTACGGCACACTGTGTATCCCTTACTTTGTGTATACGTAAATGCTATACTGTAGCTACATTGTGAGGCGGACGTTTAACCTTTGTGCATACGTGTTGAACTACAATGTGTAAACGTAGTATATTAACATCGGGAGAATTGTGTCACCCTGTGTCTACATCTAATAATGTAAACACATCGTAAATGTGATTTGATGTGCTGTATGGGTTACTACATTGAATTTCAATTTAATTTGTTAGAATAAGATTAATTAACTTTTAGTTTATCGATAGATAAATCATCTCTATAGATCTACTGATGGGAGGTGATGTAACTCCGGCCTACACAGCTTCGTCGCCGTAGTAGTCCTGCTACTTAACACCGCTCCATTCTGCGAACGGTAGCCGACGTACACGCGACGGCCTGGCCTGCTCGGATTTTACCAGCAGCGTCACGACGCGGCCAGGTATGTCGGTCCAGTCTTGACGTCACGTCATCGCAGGACCACCGATTCGCAGATGCCGATGATCGCTACCAAACCGACCATTAATCGCGCTGTTGATGTTTTGGTTTTGTGAGAAATTAGGCGGTTTTTCTCGGTACTCATGTATTTACCGAGATTCGGTTGACTTGCTGGTTTGATTGTGCCGGAAAGGTACTTTTCTTTGGGTTTTTCTGGCCGTTTTTCTAGTTTTTTGTGATATATTTTACGGTCTGAATGAATTATCCGAAGGTTGTTTGGAGAATTGGTGAATGGGTTCTGATTCTGGGAATGCTATTTTAATTATTATATGTCTTTTTATTATTATTTTTTCAATATTATAGTTTCTTTTGTAATTCTTTAATTTTAGTCTACATAGTTTAAAATTTTCATGTGTTGTAGAGTTTATTATATTTTGTTCTAGTGGGCAAATTTTGATGATCGATTTTGTAAAAATTGATGATATTGACTAATTAAAAGGTACAGAACAAGAAAATACAGGCGATTGTACGAGAACATAAATAGTAAATGTAAATAGAACATAAATAATATATAATAATAGAACATAAATAGATGTAGGAGACGTTTAAACCATCTTCAAAAATAGCTCAAAACAAGAATATAAAAAAATAAATTTTGCTCAAAAGCAAGATATCTAAGCCTTTCTTCTATAATTCTCATCTACATAAAATTTCCTTCAAATGCTAAAATTTTCATAATTTTGTGGCTAGTATTACTATCTTCTTAAGATTCTTTTCTCGGTAGATTATATTTTGACCCATCTCTATAGTTTTGCTTTTATTGGAGATATTCGATTTTCAAGAAGACAGTAATGATTTCCAATAATTTTAGCGTTAAAAAATTATTATCTTTGCATTTGTCATTGAAAATTTATACTATTATTGTTACAGAGATATACATGTATAATATTTTTATTCGTCACCAAAAACCAAAGACACCCAAAATAAAAAATGATGGATTGACGTAAAAACCGGTATTTATACCAACAACATACATTCTTAATAATCTTAGAAACATAAAAAATTATTTATCTATTAGTTATTTTTAGTTCGCAGAAAAAAAATTAAAACATACCAAATAAATTAAGTATTAGTAGGAACTGTAAATAAAAAAAGTGACGTAGATTGATAGAAAAAACGGTTAAATGGAAAGGAAAAATCACACTTTTTGAATTAACAAACAAAACACAAATTTTTTTATGCACTCTGAATTCGATTCGAAGATGCACACATAGTGAGTTTGATGCAGTGGGGTTATAAACGTCAAACTGCCGTACAGCATCGACAAACCACATGAACGCACAGTGAATATGAGGCTTTAAGCTGTGCTTTAAGGTTTATTATTTTTTATTTGTATCATAGAGATTTGTATGCTACCAGACTAAAAGCTACTCAACTAAAGGCATCTTTTTTTAAGTTCAAAAAAAGATGTAGGAAAAAGAAAATTAAAAAATACAAAAATATCTTATTTTTTGGCAATGAATCATAATGGATTTTACAGATTTTATAATCAATGGTGAATGATTTTTTCTTTGCTGGAGATTTTAAATTAATCACTGAATAAACTAATTTCGATAGATCAATTAATATCTCAACAACAATCGACAACAACAGTAAATCGACAGCGACGAATGTTTATAGACTGAAAACCAGTTCAAAGACGAGGTTATGTCTGTCCAAAGCGGAAACGGAACTAGATCGTTTTATACAGAGTGTTGTGTTTACGGGAGTATAGAAATATGTTGTGTAGTATATAAGTAGAAAATGCTTGTTTTTAGTATTTTACCTAAAATATCACTTTGGTGGACCTGTTCTTAGATCGTCGGATCGTCGCTAACAGGAATTTTTTGACTGATATGGTGTGTCAATGCCATAGTTCCATTTTTTCGACTGACTTCAACAATTCAGTTTCTTCTTCTTCAAGTACCGTCTCCTAACGGAGGTTGGTTATCATCATGGCTGTTTTGATTTTATTTGCGGCTGCTTTAAATAATCCATTCGACGTCATTCTATACCATTCGCTGAGGTTCTTCAGCCAGGATGTTCGTCTTCTGCCCCGACTATGTCCTCCTTGGATTTTTCCTTCCATAATATTCTGGAGTAACTGGTATTTAGGACCTCTTATAACATGGGCAAAATATTCTCATTTTTTCCTCTTAAGGGTTTTATGTATTTCTTCTTCCTTGTTCATACGGCATAACACCTCGAGACCCACTCTGTAGACCCAAGAAATATGTAACATGCACCATACAATAAGGTCGAAGACACGTAGCATCGGAGCATTCTTATTCTTAAATCTAAGTTTGTATCTCTACTGCAAAAAAATCTAGCTATCTCAATCCTGGACTTTATTTCTTGCAATTGTTCGGCAGTTTCATTTATTATTGTGCCCAGGTATTTGTAGTGTTGGACTTTTCCTATTGGCGTGCTGTCTATTGATATTGAAGTATTTACATTTTGGTCTTTTGTAATAATCATGAATTTTGTTTTCTTCAAATTCATATTCGGCTCATATTGTCTGCAGGATACATTTATTCTTTGAAGTAGGTTCTGCAGATCTTCACTATTGTCTGTCATTACTACTGCATCGTCAGCGTATCTGGATCAGAGCCGGCGGAAGGAAAATATTGAGACCGGGCGAGTACTCTATCTGGCGCCCCCCCCCTTAATAGTTATTATAACTCTCTTTCCTTCAATTCTGTACTTTAACTACAACTAAGCATATTTAGACTACTTCAACAATAAATTTTTTAAAGGTACGTCAAAATTTTTTCTTAGTCTGCGATTGTTGTTTTTTCTATACTGGATGCGTCTCGAAAGTGATTTCCCCCTATAACTTTTTTATTTTTTTAGATAAAAA